ATATTTATTTATTATATCATATATATCATACCAAATTGACATTTTATTTTTTTCAATTAGATTAAATCATTAAAAATATAATTCATTTATTATTTAAAAATTGGTAATAAGTCGTTAAAATCATTTAAATGTGATATATCCACTTGTTATTTAGTTTTAATCTTAATAGAAATTCTATATGTTTATAATCTCAAAATGTAGTTTATAATTTGATAAAACAATTATTTAATATTTGATAATAGTAATGATATGCAAATTGCCAATGGATGAAGATTTATTTTGTTAAGATTGTGTGAAATTAATAAGAAAAAAAGAAATTTAAAATAATCATGGGGGAATTTCAAAAATACCCCTTTTCTAATACCACTTTTTAAAAATATCCCTCTTTCTAATTTTATCAAAAAGACACTATAAATTTTGAAATTTATCAAAAACATATGTGAAAACTTATATTTATAGACATAAATTATCTTTATATGTGTATAAATTCATATATATATATTTCATAAATACTGTATAAATACATTTTAAAAACCTTTTAAAAATCATTTAAAAACCTTATAAAAACTGTGTAAACCTTTTAAAAACCTTATAAATACCGTTTATAACCTTTTAAAACCTTATAAATATTTGGATTTAGTCTTCAAGTAATAATGATGATCTTGATGTATCTTATCAATCATATAAAAGTTTATAATATTTCATATTTGAAAAAGGATATTTTTGAAAATAGATAGAAAAGAGGGGTATTTTTAAAAAGGGGTACACCAAAAGGGGCATTTCTCAAAAATTCTCTATAATCATTAAATAACGGTTTGACCAAATAAAAATTATTAACTAATTGAATTAATGATAAATTTTGTAGATATCATTTGTGCTATACTTGCTTGATTGATTTTTGAATATGAATATTTTTATGTGAAAATAAGAAATTTATGTGATCTACAATGTTTATTCGTATGATTTTAGTAAACAAATATTTAATTATTGATTTATTTAAATTTTATTTATATTTTAAAATTATATAATTTTTAAATTTTTTTATGATATGATCAGTTATGTATATATACTATGTAGAATTTGATTAGTTGATTATTTCATATGCTAACATATTTTTTTTTATCTTTTGATCATTTTTCTAAAAAAATGTTATCTTTGTTATTTTAGATATATGATGATTTTGTTTTATTAGATTTCATTCTATATAAATTATTAATTTCGAAATTATATTAAAATATTAAATTAATAATAAATATGTTTATGTATATTCGAAATATATTTGTTTACATATATTTAGTTTTGAATTTAATTGTCCACTTTTTGTGGTAAAAGATTATTATGATTTCTATAAATATAGATTGTTTTTGTTTTTTTTTGTTTTTTTTTTTTGCTGTCATTAATTCTGTTTGGCAACTGGTTTTATTTTCATGAAATTTGTTTTTAAAATTGGGGGTGTTTGGCTTCAAGTTGTCCTTCCCAATTAATAGTATAGATTAATGGGAAAGATATCCCAATATTTTGGATTTAAAGTTATGACAGGATATAAAGAGAGAATTAGAAAAGATTTAAACCCAAAAAATAAATAACCCTTATGGAAAAATGTAAATAGATTCATCGGTCAAATATTCTATGTCTCTATTTTAGCCTTTGTATATTAAAAGATTTATTATATGACTGTTAATGATATCGAAATTAAGTTAAAAGTTTTTTTTTTTTTTGCTAAGAATGTAAATATTTCATTAAAATGAAAATTTAGTTTAGGTTACAATCCAAGATTATAAACCTATAACAAATGGTCCCATGGCAAAAAAAAATAAATAAATAAAAAAATAAAATATTGGTGAGAATCACATAGTACAATTAAGTGGAAGACCTAAAGATCCGTTACAGAGTACTTTCAAATTTTGACATCGCATTTAATTTATAGAAACGTTTATTTTTATGTACTTGTAAATTTTGGTTAATTATTAATTTATGGATTGGATGTATACGAATAATACCAATAAAGAAGAAGTGGGTTTGGTGGGCTATGTGAGCAGTAGGGCTGGTTAAAAAGCCCATAAGATAGATAACATGAATAAGAAAAAGAAGTGTATGAGGTGTCAGGAGATCATTGGCTGGAAAAAGCGGGTGAAGAAGTTGTTGTACTGTCGAGGAATCTTCTAATCAAGTAGGGTTTTAGTTTAATGAGCCACCGTGTCTCGATTCTATCATCTCATCTCTCACCTGTCTCCGCCGTCATGGCTTCCGAGAAAGAAGCTGCTCTCGCCGCTACTCCTTCCGATTCTCCCACCATGTAATAAAACTTCTTTATATCTCTCCCTCCCTGTTGCCATCTTCTTATTTGTTTGTAGATCATCTGTGATCATTTTTATTAAGTGGATTTTTTTGAAATGATAGATGAAATTAATAATTTTTATTTGAAATTTAATCAAGCTGTAGCTTTTGTGTTCTATAATAATTGCACTTTTGGTGTTTGTTTAGCTGATGATATTTTAAAGGACTAAAAGTAATAAAACTGTCTTCTGTAATGCAGTTGTGAAGATGGTTCTTCCTTTCTGTTAACTATGTAATGATGGATCATGAGTACAGTTGTGGGAGTATGTATATATGATTGAGGTGCTTAGAAGAGTGAAAGTGTTGTTCTTGAAATTGCAATAATGTTTTGTTTACTTTGTAGAGTGACTTGAGAGAGTTTGTGAGAAGAGAAGGTCTTTTTCTGTTATATATTTGTTCAGTTCTATAACCTATCTCTAGACTTTTAGTTTGAATTGTTTTGTGGCGCTGAGTTTTGATGTTAACATTATTGTTTACGTTGTAAATATGCAGATTTGACAAGATCATCAGCAAAGAAATTCCATCCACCGTGGTTTATGAGGATGACAAGGTCCTTTTATATTCTTCTGTAACCCTTTTGATAGACTTCATATTATTCTATTTTGCACATTTAGTGATACACTAAGTAGCTCACTCTCCCTTGCCACTTGAGCCACTGTGACTATGCGACATAAGCATTCTATGTATTTCAAATATAACACGATGGCCTCTGCTTGTCTATGTTTTAGTTGTTTGTTTTTTTTAATGAAAATGTCAGTTTTAACAACCGAAATTAGTTTCTTAGTATCTTTACCTCTTGAAAACTTGTCAGTAGTTGTACATACTTCATTTAAGTGTTCCTGTCGTGTTTGCTAATATCATGTTGAATGTTTTTGCAGGTCCTAGCTTTTAGGGACATAACGCCCCAGGGTCCTGTTCACATCCTCCTTATTCCAAAAGTGAGGGATGGCCTAACTGGCCTCTCTAAGGTAGTACCTATTTCACTTTACACCTCTCAAAATTGAACTTTCGTAAAAAATCCAGACAGACATTAGATAAATGTACAGCATGGCAGTTGTTAGACTCGATTCCATTAAGAAACACAATACTAAATATTGTATTCTTCTTCTACTGCAGGCTGAGGAAAGGCACATCGACATCTTGGGCCGCCTTCTCTACACTGCCAAGCTTGTAGCAAAACAAGAAGGTCTAGAAGAGGGGTTCAGAATTGTTATCAATGATGGTCCTCAAGGCTGTATGTATTTTATATACAGCTTCACTTCTTCAATTAGCCTTATCATATTCAACACATGAAACATAAAGAGACATCATGATTGATGTTTCTCACGTTCTTCTGGTTTTGTAGGTCAATCGGTGTATCACATTCATGTCCATCTCATTGGAGGACGCCAAATGAACTGGCCTCCTGGCTAAAAGATCATCTTGAAGTGCATTGTTGTCCTGATAATAAGATTAAGAGGGACGCTTAGAGTTTGCTCCCTTTCGTCTACTGTCTCTATAAATAAGAAAGCTTGGGACTTGACTTTCATGATTATTATTATGCCAGACCTTATTTTATGTTATGAAAATGATATTTTGACTGTTATCCCTTCTGGAATCTTGTGCATTCTTTTTCTCTATTATTGACTCTGTAAAATTTGACTGCGTATAAAACTTCAATGATAGAAAAAAAAGAAAGAACTTGAAGCTTTTGATAAAACAGAGAGCCATGTTTGAGTAATACCAGAGACGCATGACTTGACCTTGTAAACATTGACTACGTGTTCATGATCATCTGACATAATATATTATTATATAAAAGCTTGGTAGCGGTCACGTCTTTTGACATTTTGATAATTTGATATGTCTATATAGACCATCTCATTACTTTTCAAATAAAGATTTGGTGGGGTTTTGTTTCTTTCCATCTGATCCAGTTCCAATCAGAATCACACCTGAAGGTGCGTGACATACCGCGGTTTCAAGTTTAGACTTTTCTCTGATAGTCATTTCACAAGAATTACCTCTCATATTTCCCGAGTTTACAATTTGATTCATGGCGGACGAGAAATCGAGGAAGAGCCTGACCAGCAGTGGCAGCAGAGGTTCATTCAAGACTAAGAATCCATTTAGCCGTGTGAAGGATGAAGACGCCAACAAAAACAAGACAAGACTGTCTATGAAGAAGTCTTGGTCCACGGACTCGCTTGGTCTGCTCAGCAACAGCAACCGGTTGGGGAAGACGATCTGTATATGTGCTCCTACAAAGCATGAAGGCTCATTCCGTTGCAGGCTTCACCGTTCATCAGCCACAAGCCATGGTGCAGCTGCTACACAACTTCATTTCCCAAAGCCTTTGCCTTCTTGATGACTAAATCAATAATGTCACATAATATTTTGCGGTTCTGATTTTTTTTTTTTTTTTTTTTTGTCGACTTGCGGTTCTGATTTTGTTGAAGATTGTTTTTTCTTTCCATGAGATGCATCCATCTGATATTCACGTGTGTTCATATAATGTATGTTTTTTCTTTTAGATACCTATATGTCTTGACAGAAGTATACTTGGAAAAAAAGATTGTTAAGAGAGAATACAGAAGTTTCGAAATTTGTTTAATGCTCTCATTACTACACAATGCTAGAAGTATATGTGAAGGTTCTTTCTCTGTTGACATGGAGAAACTAATGGTGAATGACATTCATATATAATGGAACTAATCACTAATTTCCCCATTTAGCTATGATCAATTCGTGCTTCGTAGTGTCTTCACATGCCTCTTAATCTTTAAGAACCGCCGAATACCTAAATCAGAAAAAAAAAAAAACAAAAAAAAATGACAAAACCATAAATTTGATAACATATGCATGTAAATGAATCCTGCTAAATCGGAACAGCCAATGAAACCATAGTGGGGTGGCTGGGGTCAGATATATATGATAGACTTGGGTTGAAAAGCTGAACACAGATGCTATACGAGCTAACCATTATAAAAGCTGAACACAGATTGACAATGCATACTAATTTGAGCCATTAGGAATACTAATGAGATCTATAAACGCAAGTTGTACTAGCACTGCATTAGTTCAACAGGTTTCAATGAGGGCTCGATTCAGGTTTAAGACATTGATCTAAGTAGGTCTAAGTAGCTACTATATATGCTATGTAGAGCCTGTGATGCTTCTCACTTAATTCTACTAATACAAACTTCTTTGTTCTTCAAAAATAAGAGAAAGAGTACTGACCGATGCTAGGACATCCGTGGAGAGCCCAGGCTTGCTCTGAGATGTCTCATTTTTAATCGATTTCTTCTGTCTAAACTGGCGAATCACCCTCTGTGGAAAGACTGGCCCTGCTTCAGCATTGCTACCTGATTCTTCCTGAATCTTTCGTTTCTGCCCACCACAAAAACAGGATAACACAAACCAAATATAAGGTTAGAGTAGTGAGATTTACAGAGGGAGAAACTAACAATAGAATTCCTCCTAATGAGAGGGCCTATAAGTCAACTTTAAAAGTTTTGATAGCAAGCTATAAATTTCAGACAAGCAGACATCGACCATATAAGAAAGAGTATTTCTGAATTTACAATATTAGAAAGAGTGAGTACCTTTTCCATTCGTGCATCTATCTCGGTCATGGCACGCGACTTCTCTACTTTAGAAAGATAAAAGTCCTTCTCTCTCTTTGCAGCAGAAAGTACCATATTTAATTTCTGTTCCCGTATTGCACTTTTGTATGCTGAACAAAGCAGTCCCTTTGTAGATTAGAGATCACATAAAAGTAAATGGCCAAGAAATTCAGCAGAGAAATTGTGAGGTTAACAATACCGATTTCTTCAGTGAGATCATCCCATTTAAATTTGGTCAAGTATTTGATGTTCCAAATATCATAGTATATCGATGACTTCTTTTTTCCTCCTGAGAAAAGAAAACAGCAAACATTAGTAATCACTTAAGCTTAGATTTAACCTGTCGAGTAATGATATGATTCATTAGGAATACCAATTTGTTCTCCATTCAGCATATCTGCAACCCGCTTAGCTACTCTTTTCTTCGCAAACTCCACCCACCTACAGTTAATGATCAAAATAAGATATTAAAAACCAATATAAAAAGAATCCAAATCATCAATGTGGAGAAGTGTTTGAAGTTCAATACGGATATCCAAAACTAGAACATAACAAACAGAAAATAACTGGAGGGAAACCTATATCCTTAAACATACCCTTCAGAAAACAATTGCCCCCGAAATCCACCAGCCTTCTTGCGATGCACTTGTGCTTCAGGATCTGAATAGAAGAAAATGACTAATGTATTAGCCAAATTTGAAATACAGTATCTATATGACCAAGATGTGTTTTTGACATTGAAAAGGACTCAAAAGGTGTAAAACCTCACCTTCAGGTGCAAGATAAATCCTTCCAAGTTCTCCAAATTGACAGAGAATCTGGCGAAGTCTAACATGATCCATGTGTGGTGGGATGCGACTTAAGTAGCAAACCCCTCTATTGTCAGCCTTAGAAGCTTCCTTAAGCAATTTCTCTTTCAACTTCTTTTTCTTCCTATCAGCCTTTTGATTCTTCATTTTTTCCTTGGAATCCTCCTCGGACATTCCAGTAGCAAGCTCGTGAGATTGATCACTCTGCATCTTCTTCAGCAGCTGCTGAAACCATCACAAGAACAATTCTTCAATTGACAATTGAACAAAGTCTGAATATTTATCAAACCTACATTGAAATTATAGGACTAATTTACACCAACACTTGCATAAATTCCTAGACCCTAAATACCTAGATACTGAAACTTTCAAGATGAATCTTATTCAAAATCTCTGATTTTTCTTCGTTTCTGAAGGAAAACAGAAAACCTTACCGGAACTAAGTAAGGAAGAAGAGGAAGAAGAAGAAGACAGTGACGTCGGCGAACTTGTACTCTGTTCGGACGACGAAGAAGAAGACCATGTGTGTAACTTTGTTCGCTAATCTAGGTCTAAATAAATTCGGTATTTTTGTACAAAACCGGTATTTTTGATATCCGGTTATCGTTATTTCGTATATTCATTCAAGTCCGTACCGGTCCATAATTTTTTTCTGCGGGAGAGAGAGAGACGATGTGCGAGAAAGCGAGAGTGATAGTGAGAATGCTGCAAGGCTGCAACAGCATGAAAAAGCTCCGTAAGATCCACTCTCATGTCATCATCAATGGTCTCCAACATCATCCTTCCATCTTTAACCATCTCCTCCGCTTCTGCGCCGTCTCCGTCACCGGCTCTTTACCTTACGCTCTGCTTCTCTTCGACCGTTTCGATTCTGATCCATCAACTTCGGCTTGGAACTCCCTTATCCGTGGCTTCTCCATTTCCTCTTCTCCTCTCTATTCGCTTCTCTTCTATAATCGAATGCTTCACTCCTCTGTTTCACGTCCCGATATCTTTACTTTCAGTTTTGCTCTCAAAGCCTGTGAGAGGCTACGTTCGATTCCGAAGTGTTTGGAGCTTCACGGTTCGATTATTCGTTCTGGGTTTCCTGCTGATGCTATTGTTTCCACTAGTCTTGTTCGTTGTTACTCTGCGAATGCAAGTGTTGACACTGCATCCAAATTGTTCGACGAAATGCCTGTTAGAGACTTGGTTTCTTGGAACGCTATGATCTCCTGCTTTTCTCATGCTGGTTTACATCATCAGGCCTTGGATATGTACAAGCGAATGGAAACTGAAGGTTTGTGCGTCGACGCTTACACGCTAGTTGCTTTGTTATCGTCTTGTGCTCACGTTAGTGCTTTGAATATGGGACTTATGCTACACAGGATCGCCTGTGACATCCAATGTGAGAGCAGTGTCTTTGTGAGTAATGCTCTTATTGATATGTACGCAAAATGTGGTAGCCTTGAAAATGCTGTGGGGGTTTTTAACAGGATGCACAAGAGAGATGTCTTGACCTGGAACTCAATGATCATTGGGTATGGAGTTCATGGGCATGGCCTAGAGGCCATCTCTTTTTTTAGAAGGATGTTGGCTTCCGGGGTTAGACCCAATGCCATCACATTCCTCGGCTTGTTGCTAGGTTGTAGTCATCAAGGTCTAGTTAACGAAGGAGTTGAGCATTTTGAAATCATGACTTCACAGTTCCATGTGATCCCAAGCATTAAACACTATGGATGCATGGTGGATCTCTATGGAAGAGCAGGTCAACTAGCAAAGGCCCTCGAGATGATTCACACGTCTTCCTGCCATGAAGACCCTGTATTATGGAGAACCCTACTTGGCTCTTGCAAAATCCACAGTAATGTGGAATTAGGAGAAGTGGCCATGAAGAATTTGGTGCAGCTCAAGGCTTTTAATGCAGGGGATTATGTGCTTATGACTTCGATATATTCTGCAGGTAATGATACGCAAGGTTTTGCGAGTATGAGAAAACTAATAAGAAGCCATGATTTACGGACAATTCCAGGCTGGAGCTGGATTGAGATTGGTGATCAAGTTCACAAATTTGTCGTTGATGAAAAAATGCATCCCGAGTCTGCACTTATTTATTCAGAACTCAGGGAAGTAATCCACCGAGCCATTCTTGCTGGTTACAAGCCAGAGGACTCAAACAGAACTGCTCCTACCCTCTCTGATGGGTGTTTAGGATCTGCTGATACATTTCACAGTGAAAAATTGGCTATTGCATATGGATTGATGAGAACTCCTGCAGGAACTACTCTCCGGATCACAAAGAATCTGAGAGTTTGCAGAGATTGTCATTCTTTTACAAGATTTGTATCAAAAGCTTTCAATCGAAAAATTATTGTAAGGGATCGAGTTCGATTTCATCACTTTGCAAGTGCTCATTGTTCTTGCAACGAGTACTGGTGACAACAATATTCTCAGTCAGGTATGACATTAGCTTGTTTTACTTTATCGGTGTTAGATTCGTGTGCCTTACACTAATTGATAGTTATTCGAATGTTTTACTCTTGTTAAGTAAGTTAGCTGATAATATGAGGTTTCCGTAATAGTTTGTATTTGTTCTATTTTCTGATTCGATGTTAATATGATCTCCATTTCCTTTTACAGAATTATCACCACAAGATTCCTTAATGGAAAAGTGAGAGACAGGAGATGAGACAATCATTGACACATGTATCACGTTGCTAATACATTTCACCTGTGTAATCTTGGTTTTTTGCTGCTTATAATGTTGGAAGCTGTTGGGTCTGATTAATGCTTGTGCATCATGTCCAACTCTCTACCTTGTGAATGTTGTCGGTTTTCCTCATGGTATCTCGAGCCATCAGTGGGCGTGATTAAAATTGTGGAGCCAGATTTCTCTTATAGATGGGTCAGACAGTCTGACAATGGTTTACCTTGATTTATAGATTCTCATTACGATTTGAGTTATAGCCCTCTACTTATTTGTTTCTTAGTTTTATAAGATTTGACCACTGTTTTTTGATTGGTAGCAGAGGTTGTGTGATTATGTTCTGGAACAAGAATGTGACAAAGGCACGAAAATCTCTGGGGAGGAGGAACCAAAGAAAAAGAAGGAACCCACTCCCAGAAATTGCAGAAGGTGTTAGACTTAACAGCATTCTTTGGGATTGCAACACTTGAAGAGAAGAACTGAAGCGAGTACCAGTGATAGAGAGCTTTTCAAACGAGGGACATTGTTGAGGTAGCTATGAGTGAGATTAAACTAAACTGGTATGTAAGTGGTTTTTGGCTAAAAAAAGATAACATGAAAAGAAAAAACAGAGAGAAGACAGAGCTGTAATAGATGTTTTTAGCTGGTAATAGAAGACAAAACACCAGTAGAGTACTACGTTGGGAAAAAAAACTAACGGCATGAAAACGTGTTGGTTAATGCTTGAATACTGGTTTCAGTTGTCTGATGATAACGAGAGGGTATGTGGTTTCTTGGGATCCAAGCTATTAAGATTGTCAAGTTTGGATTTTTATATGAGTTTTGTTTTGGTTGGTGTGTATAGGTTGTGCAAGATTTATCTGTCTCCAAGGGCACCAAAGAAGAAGAAAGCAGATCAGGGAGAAGAGAATGAGAAGCTTAAGAAAGAAGAAGTCGTATTAAAGGAGGAGGTTGAACATCTGGATTTGTATCAACAGGGCCAATCGCAGCCTCATGATATGGTGTATCAGCAACCACAGTACTGTTTACTTCCACCACAACATCAGAAGCGCAGCCTTTAAGTTTTTCTGAGGATTTTGAAGATTTCTTGGCTGAATTCATTAAGCCACATTCACTGGATGGAGATGAGGATTCCAACAGTCATGGTTTATTTGAAGGCTTCGCCACAGAAATAATGATAAAATGTTGCACTAACTGATCACAGCCTCTCAGTCTAGCTTGTATGCCTTTATAGGTTTTGTTATGAGATAGAAGATTTTCTTGTGTTTTGTTTGCTCTGTTTCCTTTATCGGCAATGTTCTCTGAAAACTTGATATAACATACTCTTACACATTTTACTCAACATTCTCTTATCGTCTTAGAAGATACACTTAAGTACTTAACACATACAAAGATATCTATATAAAATACTGGTGTCTTCTTCTTCTCCAAAGCATTTGCTATCCTTTGAAAACCAATATAGTTGAATCAGTATTCCGATTAGAACATATATGTGAATGTTGCAGAAGACTCATTTAGCTCATCTACATCCTCGATAAATGAATCATTACGTCCTTCACAAATACAATGTAGCCACTTTGTTCACTTGAAATGTATCCCCAGATCAGAGAGAGTAGAATCAGTTCTGTATAAGTCCTCTGTAGGCTTGTAACTAGCTAGAATGGCATGGTAAACAAGGACAGACTCCGGATGCCTTTTTTCATCAACGACAAATTTGTGAAGATGATCACTTATCTCAGTCCAGCTCCAGCCTGGAACTGTCCACCTAGTTAGGGTGAAGCTGGTCAGTTAATTTTGAATAAACGAAAATAAAAAGAGGAAAACAAACAGAATTTTAAGTTGTATATTCATGATCACGAAGATAATATCATATCTAGAAACAAATCTTACTGTAATCTATTCGAATCGATACATATATTTATCTTATCAATTATTTTGTAAAATTCAGATATATGTACACCGTCTTATTCACCCATATAAATAAAGAAGTTAATACATAACTAACCTACGTTGAATATCTCTTACAAAATAAAGACTTTATCTCTCTGATTGTCCAAAGTTACTCGATCGATGTCGATGCCTGGAAGAAACAAGCGCAAGGAAAGATCCTCGCCGGAACAGGAACCGGAACCGCACCCACCGTCAGGGATGCCTTCTTCTTCTTCAGCTGATGATCACTCGCCGTCGTCTCCTCCTTCGACGGGACTTTCTCTTCCGCCAGGTTTTCACTATACTCCGACTAACAAGGAAGTCATCTTGTTACTTGAACGGAAACAAGACTACTTGGACGGGAACAGAAACTCATCGATCAACCTTCCTATTCATCGCGTGAACATCTACGACTCCAATCCACAACAACTTTCAGGTTTGTCTCCTTATTCTAGAACATATTATATATTTAGGTTTCTTTATATTTACCAACTTTTCATCTTTAGGTTTATATTTATCAACTTTATATTTTTTTCTCTTTAATGTGGGCAAACGTTTACTTAGATTTGTTATTGAAATATGTAGCGGAATACACGAAGGGTAATAGTACAGATTGGTTCTTTATATCAAAGATGAACATGATGGGTAAAAGTGAAACAAGGCATAAACGTGAGGGCAATGACGGATACTGGCACCAAACAGTTGCTTCCATCAAGATTGACGCTGGAGAAGGTCTCATTGGCAAAAAAACCTCACTAACATACTTCCTGGGGAGACGACCACACGGCATAAAAACTAATTGGTTGATGCATGAATACTGGATTTCTCAGTCTCCTACTGGTGGTGGCGACGTAAAGGTTTGTATGCGTTTCTTGGCTCCCAAGTAATTAAGTTTTTCTTTATTTTATTTCTGATTTTTGGTGCGTGTAGGACTATGCTATGTGCAAGATCTATGTGAGTCCACAAGCACCAAAGCAGGATAAATCAGAGGAAGAAGCGAATGAGAGGAAGAAGAAGAAAACAGAGGAAACAGAGAATGAGAGGAAGAAGAAGAAAGCATTGAGAAACAAGGTTGAGCAGCAGCAGCAGCCTGAGTATCATCAACAGCAGCAGTTTTGGCCAATCCCGCGCGATTATTATCAAAACATTGCGTATCAAGAACAACTTCTGTTTCAGCCAGCTCCGCTGGATTCTTGCCAACCGAAGCCTCGTGATTTGGCGCATCAACAGCACCAGTTTTGGTCAGCGCAGCCTCATAATGTTGCGTCTCAACAACTGCAGTTTCAGCCACCTCCGCGGGATTCCTCTCAACCGCAGCTTCGTGATTTGGCGCATCAACAGCACCAGTTTTGGTCCGCGCAGCCTCATGATGTTCAACAACTGCAGTTTCAGCCACCCCCGCGGGATTCCTCTCAACCGCAGCTTCGCGATTTGGCGTATCAACAGCAGCAGTTTTGGTCAGCGTATCAACAACTGCAGTTTCAGCCACCCCCGCGGGATTCCTCTCAACCGCAGCCTCGTGATTTGGCGTATCAACAGCAGCAGTATTGGCCTGGCCCGCGAGGTTCGCAGCCTCTTGATATGACGTATCAACAGCCACATCAATTGCAGTTTCAGCCCTCCCCACTAGATTCTTATCAGCAGCAGCATTGTGGCATGGTGACGACGACCCCCCTCGAGGAAGAAGATGTTACTCAAAGTCAACAACAACAGCCGAGTGTTGCTCCTCCTCCGCAAGGTCAAGATTCAAGATCCGGGATGGAGATGACCCAAGAAGACGAGTATAAGGTTGAAATGTTCAGGGACCTGATCCGGGAATTATGCAATAATAATGAGGAAGAAGATGGTGTCGTTACTCAGCAGCAGCAGCAAAGTACACCGGTCCTTCCTCCCCCTCCTCCTCCTCCGCAAGGTCAAGATCCAACATCCGGGAATGTGATGACGGACCAAGACGGCAGTCATGGATTATTTAACGATGATTTATGGAATCCCGACAACTTCTTTGACATTGATGAATTATTGGGAGATTTCGAGAAAGGCCACGACGTGTGTGGACCTGAGAAATCATGAACTGAAAAATATATAGTGGATTTTCCGGGGTAATAATCCCCGGCGAGATGTAGGGTTTCCACGTTGGAGACCCGAACTCGTTAAACTCTGCGTCTCCTCCTTTAGGCTTCTTTAGCTTACTACAAACGAGAGATCGGTCAAAAGTGAGAGAGAGATCAGTAGCTTACTTTATCAGGTGAGCTTTTAACTTCAAGTGAGCGAGTGTTATATAAATAAGGGACACACATACATACGAAGAAGCATTGAATTCAGGATAGAAAGCAAGGATGAGCGCAGAGCACATAAAACCTCATATCTCTCAAGATATAACGATATCTTGGCTAGTCCTTGATTGCATCCATAGCCGCATTATTGTCTGATGCTAGTTCTATAGCCGATTGATATGCAGGTCACGTAAGAGCTTCAATTTTCCACATCATTCACAACTGTAAAAGCAAACGCCAAATTTTCCGTGTGTGTTGAAAGCAATCGATCCTACTAGCTAGTGTTTATTGTTAAACTTTAACAAGGGAGTTTGATAATTTGGTGAAATATATATATAGGAGGTTTGCTGTTTGTAATCTATATTAATGAACTCAAATCCAAAGAAACTTTGTTTTAAGATGCAAAATTTTAACGACAGAAACACTCACATATTTTATTCTTAATTCTAAAATTTTAAAATTACAATGGTAGGCCTTTTATTTATTACTTTGGTGAAAAAAGTAAAAACACAAAAATATCAAATCCAACTCCATTAGATAGGTTTTGAGATCAACACGGTTTAATATTTTCTTTCTTTCATTCCTTCCTTTACGATCTCGTCAAGTAAACCGGTTATTGTTCGTCAATCGTCAGTACTCCTGAAAATGTATCAGATTTGAAAGAGTAATCGTCGGTGCAGTCACCGACACTGGGCGTTTTTGGTGTTGGAGGATATAAAATTGCCGATAGTTCATCAAATGGAGACGGACGAGGAAGTTTTTGTTGTTGTTTCTTCTCCTGCACCTTACCAGTTACCATGTTGTTATTGTGTTGACTGAATAGTATTCATTCACAGTATCTTGTTATTATTATGATTACAATTTTTCTTATTGTTATTGGTTTCACTAACACATACTTTAGTCTGGCTTATATATAGATGTAAGATTTGGTAATGTAGTTACGTACTTGATCTTTTCTTTTTAGGAAATATATTCATACACATTATGCTTATTCTTGCCCCTAATTAATTACTTGTCTTTTCAAAGTTTGATGTATGTAATACTCTACTTTGTCAACTTGAATCGTGGATGTAAGAAAATTTTAACCTAACTTTTTTTTTTTTTTTTTTGTCGACAAAAAATTTTAACCTAACTAAGGTTTAAACTATTTGAAGTTTTCTAATCCAATTATTACTTGGGATATTTTCTTAATTTCAAGATGGAAGGGTATTTTCGTCACTACACTTCCTATGTTACAGAACACCAGCATAAACCCTCATTCATCTATCGCCGTCGTTGTCTCTCTTACCGGACGTTGTTTTTGTTTCCCTCCGGCGAATTCATCAGAGAGCGTTATCATTCATGGCCACAACAAGGTTCTCTCTCTCGCTCTATCTCTTAATCATCGTCTGTCAATGAACAGAACCTTTTAGTTTTGTTTTGATTTACCGTCTCTCTAATTGTTAGCAGGAGGTTAAGAGCATTCAAGAGATGGATGAAAGCGAACGGAGTTGATTGCAGCGACGCTCTCAACCTCGTTGACGACCAAAACGACGGTGTCTCTGTGAGAGCATTATGCGATTTGAAAGAAGGAGATGTCGTCGCCAATATCTCGAAACCTGCTTGTCTCACTATCAAAACCAGTGGAGCTCGTGAGATTATCAAATCAGCTGATTTAGATGGAAGTTTAGGTCTCTCTGTTGCTCTCATGTACGAGAGAAGCTTAGGTGAAAAGTCCCCTTGGGCTGGTTATCTTCAGTCTCTTCCTATTCAAGAGGATTTGCCTCTAGTTTGGTCCCTTCAAGACGTGGATTCTCTCTTATCTGGAACTGAGCTTCATAAGGTTCTTATCCTTACCATTGCATTCGATTCTGATTGTTTGATGGAGTCTTGGAATTGAGTTGAAGTCACTACTCATCAGTTTTAATTTTTGTAGGCAGGTTGTGAAGGAAGATCATGTTCTTATATGTGAGGATTGGGAAGAAAACATTTTGCCACTTACCTCTTCACTGCCTCAGAATGTTGATCCTGATTCCTTTGGGATTAAAGACTATCTTGCTGCTAAGAGTCTAATTGCTTCACGGTCTTTTCAGATCGATGACTACCATGGATCCGGGATGGTTCCTCTTGCAGATCTGTAAGTTTATACCTCACATTTGTTTTGATTACTTTTATTCGTCATAGGCCTTGTTAAGCTCATATGTACCAACCAAAGAAACTTGTTGGAATTGAGGCCAAGCATAATATAATACCATACGACTGCTTTCCTGTTTCAGCCTTTTTGGCTCTATACGCTTTGCATCAATTTTAAGCTGGTCGATGAAGTTTCGTATGTTTGTTTAAGGTTGTATGTTCAGGATGTAGACTTATAGTTAGCTACTTAGTTCATGGTTAGCTGACCATATACATATTGATGTTTTGTTCACTTCTCTATTCACTTTCCAGACTTCTGGGTTTTATTGCGTCTTGTATACCGGCCAGTTTTGCCTAGTTATCAGACCAACATTTGTTTATACATGTTGTCCTCTTGAGATTTTCTGTGTGTAGACTTTAAGGGTCTCGCCGTCTCGTTAGGTTCAATCACTTCGATTAGACCGAGGCTGTTCTTAGTCCTGTCAATGATTGCAGATTTAGCCGTGAATGTGCTGATTTTTTCACAGCCTGATTCACATGATTGCAGCATCTTGGTTATTTACTTGCAATTGTGCTTTTCCGTTTTGAGTCTTTTGCATGTGTAAAAAATGATCCTTAGACGTTGGTTTTTGTTGAACTAAATAAAAATTCTAGACAAAAACCTGTTGATTTACTCATTGTCCACTCTTCTGAATCTTGCCTGTTTACTCCAAATTGCAGCTTCAATCATAAAACTGGGGCAGAAGACGTTCATTTTACTGCTGAATCATCTCACAGTGAATCCGATACTGATGAATCTGACAATGGTGATGCTGTAAATGAGGCCAATGATGAAGATGAGCCTTCCAGTAAAAGTTCCTCCTCGCCTGAGCAATCTTTTGAGGAAGTTCCTGCTGAAATCACTGACGAAGAAGCCAACAAAGAAGAAGAAGAAGAAGAGGAGGAAGAAGAAGAAGATGAAGAGAACTCATCGATGTTGCAAGATGATCTATCCTGTTTAAAAATGATTATGGTGAAGGATGTTCCAGCTGGAGCTGAGGTATGCTTTTTGTTTTGGGTTGTTTATTACTAATAGTCAGAGTCTGTTAGAATCATATTCATTTGTATTGATGCCATAATCTCTGTGTAGGTATTCAATACATACGGGTTGATGGGGAATGCTGCGTTACTCCACAGATACGGATTTACAGAGCCTGATAATCCCTACGATATAGTAAACATAGATTTAGAATTAGTAACGGAATGGAGCTCATCCTCATTCACAAGCCGGTACACCCGAGCTAGACTCGCCTTGTGGAGAAAACTAGGTTACACAGGATGCGAGAGCCAAAACTCTGAATACTTTGAGATTTCTTCAACTGGAGAACCCCAAAGTGAGCTCTTGATACTACTCTACATAGTGCTCTTACCAGACGACGCATACAACAAACTGGATCTAGCTATATCAACAAAAGCAAGTCTCTCAAAAGAAGGAAAGAGATCTTCGTCCTCCTCTTCTTACGAGATAACAATCGGGAAACACAAGTTCAAGCTTGGACAAAGTGGAAACGATGTTCTTCTCACAGAAGGTGTTTGTGAAGCTCTTCTTGCTATCGTGGATAAGCGAGAGAGCTTATATGGATCATTGACGTCTTTGGAAGACGACATTGGTGGACTCAAAGCTTGTTGTCTTCCAAGAGACAGGAGACTATATCATTCGCTTGTGTTGCGTGTGAGTGAGAGGAAGATTCTGAAGCAGCTCAGGAGCTACATCCGTACAAATGCCAAAGAGTTTTCCGGTGGAAAGCGCCGGAAGAAGGTGGTTTCAAAATCCTAGCCACACAACCTTAACTTCCTCCCATGGAATTTCCTATTTTCATTTTTTGAAATTTTATCTATTTACATTGCATCTGAGCATATTTGAACGATTCTTTTTAAATTCTATTTATCGGAATTTTATAAGATAAAAAGAGAGTGTAAGAATATCGTGAGTCTACTGAGTAATCTTCCGACGGAAGCAAAGAAAGCGTGACAAAAAGCCGGCGGAGTGTGTCAGAACAGGTAGAACTGTAAATACGGAGAAAGGTGAAGGGTAGTTTGATAGTACAAGACACGTGGCACGTGGGAGTTTTATTACAGTCTTTACAGAATAATAAAAACACAGAGACAAGACAAGTGCTTTAATTTTTTTTTTTTCACCAAGGGATAAGCTAAGCTAAGCTTTTTCTTTTTTTTCTTTTCTTTCTTTCTTCCTTATAAACTTTTTTTTTTTTTTTTACAGTCAATAACTCTCAATAGAGTGTGACGGAGAGATTCTTCTTCCTGGGTAGCTCTCGTTTTCCGTCTTCTTCTTCCAAAATCCAATCACATTTCAGCTTCTCTTAGGGTTTTCTTCGTCTTCCTCTGGATCTATGTGAATAGGTATGTAACTGATTGACTTAGCTAACTGTGTCTTGAATCTTATTTTTTTTTCGCTGGATTTCATATATTGTTGGATTTGGATCCTTGGATCAGATTTGCTTAAAACTTCTGCGTTAAGGTTGTTCTTTAGATCGTCCCTCTGATACTTTTTGAGTTTTTTACTCTGTTTTCTTTGGATTGGATTTGTTGATTTCGTTTTCATGAAGCGTTTATTTACCATGATCTGGTCTTTTGATAGATCTTATTTTGGTTGATTACCCGTACGAAAGATGTGTTGGTTTCTGTAGATCGTTTGCATTGTACTTTCTTCATTGTTTTTAATTAGATTTTTCTCTCCATTGTGAGATCGTGGTATGTCTTATTTAGAATTTGGTAGCTCAAATGTGGTTGATTCATAGAGGTTCTGAGTTCCTGGAGTGCTTGGTCATTTTTGTTTTAATTGGGTTTGAGGATTGTAGTGATTAGTAGTGAGCTGCTTTAATGTTCTAAACTGGGAATTAAAGGGTCTGTTTAGGGAAACCATTTGTTGTAAAATTTGGTCTTTATTTGCTGAATCATTACTTGTGGTTTACATTGGATCTTGTGTAGTATGAACTAAGCTCTGGGGTAAGCTTGGAAAGTAGGGATATGGCCAAAACCTCTTTGGTTTACCAACTTAGCAAAAAAGTTAGCAGGAGTTGGTGATCAGTTCTCCTACCGGCTTTTGCAGGCTAATAACTAGTACCTGACTGACTGAAATATCTTCCAAGCTTTCAAGCACAAGGACTTTGTTTTTACTGGTTTTGTTACTCTGCGTAAGGAGATTGTGATAGAAAAGGAGGAGGAGGGATGTCAAGTGTTCGGAATACCCATTGGTGTCACAGATGTCAGCGTGCTGTTTGGCTTCGAGCTCGGGATGCTGTTTGTTCATATTGTGGAGGAGGATTTGTTGAGGAAATCGATCTTGGACCGAGTAGCCCCTTTGATATGCTTAGAGCTCACAGGGATGTTGAGCGTGATCCAACCTTTGATCTCATGGAAGCTTTCTCTGCTTTTATGAGAAGCCGCTTAGCTGAAAGAAACTATGACCGGGAGATTAGCGGAAGACTTGGCTCTGCGGGTTCTGAAAGCTTTTCAAACTTAGCTCCTCTATTGATCTTCGGTGGACAAGCTCCCTTTAGATTGGCTGGTGGAGATAATAATAATTCAGTTGAAGCCTTTGTCAATGGCGCAGCACCTGGAATTGGTATCACGCGTGGCACCAATGCCGGAGACTACTTTTTCGGACCTGGTCTTGAAGAACTGATTGAACAGCTTTCATCGGGCACTCATCATCGAGGCCCACCACCAGCACCAAAATCATCAATTGATGCATTGCCAACCATCAAGATCACACAGAAGCATATCAAGTCATCAGACTCTCACTGCCCGGTTTGCAAGGACGAGTTTGAACTGAAATCAGAAGCAAAACAGATGCCGTGTAACCATATCTATCATTCTGACTGCATTGTCCCGTGGCTGGTTCAGCATAACTCATGCCCAGTCTGTCGTAAAGAGTTACCATCAAGAGGATCTTCTTCAAGCACACAGAGTAATCAGAACAGAAGCACCAGTACTGGAAGAGAAAACAACAGGAGAAGGAATATCTTCTCTAACCTCTGGCCATTCCGCTCGTCTAGCTCAAGCTCGACTCAAAACCGTAGAGACACAAACAACACAACGACTACAGAAGAAGGGCACTATCAACATCACCAGCAGCAACAGCAACAACATCAACATCATCAGCAACAATCACATATGGGTTACAGTGGATGGCCTTTTGACTACTAAAGGTTAATCTAACTCTCCTTGACTCCTTTAGAGCCTTCTGTTGCACTTTGGTCTTTGTATTTTGTTTTTGCTTTGTCATGTTTCTTTATCTCTTCTTTCTCTTACTTTGTTCATTGTTTACTGTAGATCTTCTGTTTCTGTGTTTACGGCTTATCAACTTTTGAGTTTATTCTGGAATATTGTGTATCTCACACATGTTAGCTTGTTATTGAATTTGCATTAAATAATTTTTAATTATATTAGACTTATGTATGTTTCGGCTGGCGCCAACCAAACTTTAGTCGATCTGTCTTTTTATATGATTATTATATGATAGTTTCATTCTTGATTTACGTTTGTGTTACTTCAACATTTCGTAAGCAAAAAAGCTGACATACCAAGAACCTGAGAACTATGATGTGCTAACAACGCTTGACCAATCTAGAATCTCTCTATCTCATTTATAAATTAGTATTAGATTGTGTCTTAGTTTAAAGACGAAAGTGATAGTTAGATTAGATAACCAAATATGTGTTAGTTCAATAATGTACCATCAAATTTTCTTCTGCGAAAGTTAAATACTACCTCCAAATTACAAAACCAAGAGCATTAATTAGCGACATCATGCAAAACAAGTTGTAGAAACTGTATTATGATAAATATCGTAAAAGAAGCTCAGAATTAAAATGCATGTCACACACACCACCGACGAAGAGAAGAAGAAGCTTAAAAAAAAAAAAAAAGACCCACAAGATTTCTGCCGTAAAAGGAAAGTGACAAAAGTGTTTGACCTATAAATCTTTTTTTTTTTTTTCTCAAGAGTTTTTGTCTCTTCCGTGATTTCACAACTACTTACTTGTCTTCTCAACAAGTTACTACTACTACTAGTACTACTACCAATTCTGCAGGAAATAAATATCCCCATCATCATAAATTATCTCTCTTTAATAGTATCTTGATATTTCTTTTCTTGTTAGACAAAAATTAGTGTATTTGATTACGTTTACTTAAAAACACTCAAAGAGTTGGCTTTACATATGTAGTTTGCTTTCATAAATAAATGTGATGTTGTGTAGAATCTTTTTACTAATTAGTCTGTGTGCCGATGCATTGAATCGTTTCACTAATAACCCTTTTGCTAAATCGTAGTTTATCATGTTTTATTGTTAGCACAAAAAAGGTATTTATTTTCCCTTTATTTTTCCCTCTTGTCTTTGCCTAAAAGAATATTAGTATAAAAATAAAATAATACTCGAAAAAAGTTTCGAAATTCAAACTGACACGAGCTCACACCCACTAGTGCAACTGCTCTCTGTACATAATTACTAAACAAATGTTATATGTAGAAAAAAAGGAAAGATAAAGCAAAGCAGAGCAGCACAAATATTAACTTTTCCTTCTCTCACACAAAGAGGAAAAAAAAAAAAAAAAAAAAAAGAGGGGATCCTTATTGTCATTTGCAGAGAAAGCTACTTCACTCCTTTCCCTTCCCTTCGTCTCTCCGTCTCCCTCATCCCCACATTTTTTTTTGTTTCCGTCCACTAGAACCGTCTTGTTGCTTGCTTTTGGAGCATCTTCGAATTTTCATGTTCTGATTTTTTCCTATTCTGGTGGAGATAGCCTTGCCCTTTTGATGGCTGCCGCAGAATCAGGAACCGATCGGAGCAGCTTCGCTTTTGGATTTGGAGTTTTCCAGTGAATGAATCTGTTTGTTTCTGCTGTCTATGTGTTGTTGTTATGGGGAAGAATACTGACGAAGAGCAGAATCTTCCTGTGAGCGACGGAGCCGCTTCGTCTAGGAATAACGGAGGAGGAATCAACAGTTGTTGTTGCTGCGTTTCGATCTCTAGCTACTTTAGTCTCAGATGCGTTTTCATTCTTGCTTTCTCTGCTGCTGTCTTCCTCTCCGCCTTGTTCTGGTTACCTCCATTCCTCGGATTAGCAGATCGAGGGGATCTAGATCTCGATCCAAGGTTTAAAGGTAAATTTCATCCTCCATTTTTACCTATTTACGATTCCCTCGAGGCTCAGCGCGAATCTGGCTTGATGGTTCAGATCTAGGGTTTCTGATTCGTTGTTGTTCTGAATTTCACTTGGGAAAATTATCTAGTAGCGCAGAAACTAATTGAATGAGCTGTCACAAAAAGCTAGCTTGGAATTATTATTCTATAACAAGACGAGCTCGATTCTCGAATTAAATCCCTCTCCTTCAATTTTTAATGGATTTACTTCAATTCTTTGAGGAGATGATGTAGGACATGTATATATTTTTTCAATTGACTTTGGATTTAGAAACTGCTATTTTAAGCGTTTTTTCTTTATTAGCTTATATATGAATTATGATGCGTTACGTTGAATTCTCTCATAGTTAAAAAAAACCTGTGGAGTTCAGTTAGAATGTGTGCGTTTTTTTAATAAGTTCATGAACACCATATTTAGTATTTCAAACACCTTTATTGAATCAAGACTGCTTAAAAGGTAACGTTTCTAATAATGTTTTAGAATGTTGTATTCACCTCTGGCTTCCTTTGGCATGAAATTGTATTTCTATGCAATGATCAATTTCCGTTTATGCTTATTATGTTTCACCAAAATCTTTTACTCCGTGTCTTGTTTTGTTACTATACATAATATTCTCAAAGCTGGTTGGTGGAATCAATTAAGAAACTAGGCATGGTTGGTGCATAGTTTTGTGTGTGACTTAGCTGTGCAAACACATTGTCTCAAGTTACTCTGATTTGGTTTCGAAATCTAATATTGTTGACGCCACTTGATTGGACAGCCAAGGAAGTTTTGGTTGAAATATAGAAATTGTTAGCTGTAATTTTGGTGTTTAATTTTTATTCTCATGTTGCAATTTACATGTGTTTATAATTATCCGTACATTCTTCTGCATCCTCACTTGAGCTACAATTTTAAGTTAGCTATATGTTGCAATTTCTATCTCTATGTTTAATAATGGAGCAATAATGTCACTCTTTGGTGTTTTTTTATATTGTAGATCACCGAATAGTGGCAAGTTTTGATGTTGGAAAACCAGTTTCGTTCATGGAAGACAATTTGTTGCAGCTTGAGAACGATATCACCGATGAAATAAGCTTTCCCATGACCAAAGTAACTCACCATTCTTATCTCACTTTCATGGATTTCATAATATCCATGTTGATCATTCTGTGACTGTAACTTCTGTTTACTTTCTTGAGCCAGGTTGTGGTATTAGCGCTTGAACGCTTGGGTGATCTTAACAGAACAATGGTTGTTTTTGCCATTGATCCCGAGAAGGAGCATTCTAAGATACCTGCCGAAATTGAGAGCCTGATCAAGGCAGCTTTTGAAACTCTTGTTCAAAAGCAGTTGTCTTTCCGCTTGACTGAATCCTTGTTTGGGGAACCGTTCCTTTTTGAAGTGCTAAAATTCCCTGGAGGAATTACTGTGATCCCTCCCCAGCCTATATTTCCCCTGCAGAAGGCGCAACTTCTCTTCAATTTCACATTGAACTTTTCGATTTACCAAATTCAATCAAACTTTGAGGAACTCACTAGCCAGCTGAAGAAGGGTATTAATCTGGCTCCTTATGAGGTATGGCAATTCTTATTCACATATCAATATCTGACTTATTGCTAATGAATTGAAAAATTAAAATCCTCCCCTGTTGTATTGCAGAACTTGTACATAACCTTGTCAAATTGTAGAGGTTCAACAGTGGCGCCTCCTACAATAGTTCATTCTTCTGTTCTGCTTACAGTCGGCTCTTCTTCAAGGTTGAAGCAACTTGCTCACACCATCACTAGCTCCCATTCCAAAAATCTCGGCCTAAACCACACTGTATTTGGTAAAGTTAAGCAAGTCCGTCTTTCCTCGATCTTACCACAGTCACCCGCCACATCATCATCCCCTTCCCCTTCTCCTCAGCCTGAAACCCACGAACACCATCATCATCATTCTCATCCCCATCATCATCATCACCACCATCAAGAACTTGCTCCAGAACCTTCAACTTCGCCTCCAACTAAAGGCTTGGCACCTGCATCAGCACCAACCAAACACTCATCTTTACCCCCGAGGAAGCCGCCTTGTCCTTATGAGCAGAGGAGACCGAAAGGAAACAACGCTCTGAACCATCATACTGCAGCACCAACGCCTGCACCACACCGGTCTCAGCCACACCCACTCCCACTTCCACCAGCACCAAACCCTACCCGGCCACATCGTCATGCCATCCCTGTATCTAGTCCACTTCCTCACGTTGTATTTACACATATCCCACCTCCATCAAAAAGCAGCCCAGAAACAGAACCAAACAGAGAACAAACTCCCTCACCTTCCCCAACTCCATGTAAGTCTTCTCTCTCTGTTTTCAATATCTGTATCCATGCAATTGTTGTTGATTCCACTGAACTAAAAACATCTCAAAATCTGAAACAGCTTCGGCGAGCATGGGTCCAACCTTAAAAAAGGCATCATCGAAGCTCTTTGTAGTAGTAGCTGTTGTAATTATCTGTCTCTAAAGCAAAAAAACAAAAAAAAAACAAAAAAAAAAAAAGAACCGCCGGAAGAAGCTGCTTATAACGTTCAAGCTGTAAAAAAAAGTAGCAGCAGTTCAGAAAAGCACAACTCCTCCGGTCACAACATCATCAATCAAGGTAATTGTATAAAGGAACAAAAGGGAAAGAAAAGAAAATGTATGTATGAAAAAAATGAAGAGAGTTTTTTTGTTTTTGTAAAAGAGAGTTGTTGAGGTTTGCAACACAAAAGTGTGACTTGCACCTTACATCCGAGAAAAAGAAAAAAACATATATATAAAACATTTCAGTTTTAATTTTGTATATAAAGTAATCTTGCTTCATGAAGAAGCATTTATCGTTACTCTTAGTATTGCAAGGATTATTTAGTTCTGTTAGAGCAGCAACATCATCCATTAACGTCTTTTAAGAGGTAAAGATTCGGCTAAAACTGAATCTTCTATTCTATGATTGACAAAGTTTAACAGTTGCATAATTTAGTAAGAAAACAGAGTTTTATATCTCTATTATTGGCAAATTTAGTTATGGGGGTGCTCTCCTAAAAGAGCGGGAAATTCAGAAACGTAGATAAGAAAGAACAAACAATTTATAGCAAACCAAAACGTAAATTTGGAGGAAAGAGGATCCAAAGAAAGAGAATGAGAGAAACCTAAATTTGTAAAAAAAAAAAAGAAAAACAATAAGGAGAAAGAAGTGTCTGGGAAGGGGAGTCCCAGAGCGGTGACGGTGTCGGTTCTCTGACGCTCCCCTTTTTGTTCAATCTTTCTTCCTTCTTTCCTTGAATGCCTTCTTCACTTGTTGTATTCAGGGTACGTTCATATTCTTCTTCTTTGTTTTCCTTTCCTGGTAATTTCATATCAGCTACGTCGAGTCATATGTTTAATGACTTGTTCTTCAAGCAATTGTTCTTGCTTCTTAGGACTCTCTTAATAATAATGTTATGTGAATGCTAAACAAATATATTGCTTTGAACTTGCAGAAAATTTCGGCGAACGAAATTAGACTTGATTACATATTTTGAACAATATTTCGTATATTCATCTAACTTATAAAAATAACAAAAAAAATTGAAGGGCTAATGGATTCAAAGAGCATCATATCTTATCGCCGTGTGTCAATCTGGTTTGCTTGGTGTTCTAGTGGTGATTTGTCTTTATAAATGATTGACGAATTCATAGAAGAGTTGCCACCATTAATCTGAACCAATAAAAAGGTTTAGCATGAACTGTATGGCCGCGGCTCTTGATCCACTAACTGACGGCCGGCTCCCGCAATTTAGTCGACCTTCAAAAAGATGCAGACTCCAATCTTTAACCAACCTCGACTTTAACTTTCTTGATTTCAACACTGATCAAACCAATCTCGCTGCTTCACACTCCTTGAACAGCCGAAGCATTTCTACTCCATGCTTCTCCATATCCGGTAATATTACAGATGGCCCTGCTGCTGCTCCATGCATTGAGATTCTCGGTGGTCGAAGAGTCCCCACTATACGCGCCCTTGTAGCTGAAGTAACCATATCTATTGTTTCTGGAGCTCAGCCTTTGCTTTTACCAAGTGGTTTGGGAGGTGCTTATCTCTTGCAAACCGAAAAAGGTCACAGCATTGCAGTTGCAAAGCCAATTGATGAAGAGCCTTTAGCTTTCAACAATCCTAAAGGATCTGGCGGTTTGATGCTTGGACAACCAGGTGTGAAACGGTCAATCCGTGTTGGTGAAACAGGTATCCGGGAACTGGCTGCTTACCTTATAGACCATCAAGGCTTTTCCGGGGTTCCACCTACTGCATTGGTCAGAATCGCGCATGTACCGTTCCATGTCAGTGATAATGATCACGCCGCCTATAAAGTTGCCTCTTTGCAAAGATTTGTGGGTCATGATTTCGATGCAGGAGAGCTTGGACCAGGAAGCTTTACGGTTTCATCAGTCCATAGGATTGGCATACTTGACGTGAGAGTCATGAACCTTGACAGACACGGTGGAAACATGTTAGTGAAGAAGGTACCTGACCAAGATGAGAGTACTTGTTGTAACAGAGTTGGAGCGGCAGAGCTCGTGCCTATAGATCATGGTCTTTGCTTACCTGAATGCCTCGAAGATCCTTATTTCGAATGGCTTAACTGGCCTCAAGCTTCGGTTCCATTCACCGACACTGAGCTTCAGTATATATCCAATTTAGACCCTTTCAAAGATGCAGAGCTTTTGAGAACCGAACTAGGCTCTATGCAGGAATCTTCCTTGCGGGTTCTTATCGTCTGCACGATATTCTTGAAACAAGCTGCAGCTGCAGGGCTTTGTCTTGGAGAGATAGGCGAGAAGATGACTCGGGACATCTGCAGAGGGGAAGAGAGTTCTAGTGTGTTGGAGAATATTTGCAACAAAGCAAAAGAAAGCATGGTTGGTGGAACTGACGATGATGATTATAGTAGTGAATGCAATGAAGTAGAAGCAGAGCTTGAGTGTGGAATCTTTCAGTTTGACGATGATATTGAATGCGAAGAGGTTCCAGATACGTTACATGTGCCTTTATTTACAAGAGTTCCATCCATTGCTGCAAATCTATCTGCTCTCATGCGATGTCCACCAAACCAGTGGATTACTACATATGACAATAACAGAGAAGAGGACATGAGAGATAGGAGTATCGTGAGAAGCAAGAGTCACCCGATCTGTGTGAATCATGACGAGAAAGAAGGTGTTTATTTTGGAGATATGAGTGCAGATGAATGGGAGATGTTCTTGCATAGCTTCCAGATGCTTTTGCCTGAAGCACTTGAAGGCTCAACAAGCAAAGGACCAAAGCCAAGATTTGGATCTTCCTGCAAATTCTGAAGAAACAACATATTTTTATAAGAAAATAAAAAAAGAGAGAGATGAATTTTCACAAGGTTATGATACATAGAAAGCAAATGGAAAATGAGACGAGCAGGCTAAGGCCGTCCAATCCAAAATTACTTGTTTAGCAGCTGCTTCTTTTTTAATTTCTTTATTTGTATCACTTCATTCCTAAAAACACTATAAGTAGCATATATTATCTACAAGAGAATGATTAATGTAACTGAGGTACTGATCTCTAGTGATTTATGTAAGTTCTTGTTGAAAGCTAGTAAATTACATGATTTGGACTGATGTGAAGTTTTAAACGTTCTCAAGCCAGAACAATTGCGTCGTTTTACTTATTCCTGGTTCAACGAAACACAAGACACCGTGCCGTTTTACTGTACTAAAAACAGCAAATTCTATGAAAATAACAGGTGTCGGCTCGCGCGTTATTTTATATGATCTCCTTTTTTTCCTTGCAACTCAAGTGACCTAAAACTGCCTACAGCTTATGAATCGAACTAAACCAAATTCTCAAGCAAAATATTAATGGAATCAAATTCTCGTAGTTCTCTTATAATCTGGAACATAACGTTTTCTCTCTGTGTAAAAATTCAGTTAGAGAGAGCCTTGTCGAGACGTGTGTGATCGAAGATATAAAACTCGAATATACAACGGAAAGATGAAAGATCGATCGAGCCTTGTCGAGAAGTGCGACAATGGAAAAAGCATAATAAAACGACAGTGCGTGTATACGTTTTGTTCACATCAGTGTTACAATATACAACAGTACTATCTGTCATATATGTGAATTCGAACCATATGGAGAAAACAAAAGAGCTTATATAGATAGATGCCCAACTTAATCTATTTCAATTCAAAATAAGCCTAACATACATTAAACTTTGATATAAAATAAAAACAAGAAATCATGTGTATAGCATTAATCTACTAATATAAGTACTTAGTATGGATTTATATCCCAAGCTTTTTTTTTCTTCCATTAATACGATGATGATATTCAATATAGCAAAACTAAACCGAAACACAAAGATACCATATTTGTGTGCTTTTCTCGAGAGAGTCTTGTTTCTCAACACCTTCAAGCTTGGGCATAAGTGTCTCGATTACATGCCTTGTCACGATGTGAAGGCAAACACGTCCCATGTGATAAACTTCTAGACAACATCCGTTTTGTTTCAACGGACCATGGAGATGGTTATACATTTCGGCCGTGACGTACATCGCGCACCTTGAAGATACCTTAGCCATACATCGGTTAACCAAGTGGTCTGATTCAGGAGGCTGAACCACACCGGTGGTAGCTGCAGATGCCAACGCAGCCATTGCGATGATTGTGAAGAAGGCTGCAGCCATGGATTTGGTGACGGTAGTTGTGTTGATGGCCATCGATGTATTGTATAATCTGTATCGTGAATATGGTTCGATATTGCTTCTTCTTCCTAAATTCGGGGGATTTATATAATATACGAAAGAGGTGTACTTGTAACAATTTTTAAAGTTATTTCTCAAAAGTATTATGTTTCCTTTATTAATGAGGCGTTTAGTTGCAGTTATGCGTTTGATTTGCGATTAATATTTGCAAAAACGCCTACGTTTGTTCCGTTTTGTATCAACAAGTAACACATTGAATTGCACACAAAGCGCTTAAACGCCTAGCTACACTATCAGTCTATCACGTATATTCCATAATGTGACGGTTTCTTAATGTGCAGTGCTTATGCTACAATGGTTACTAATTTTTTTGGAATAATACAAGATTGTGAATCGGATTTAAAATTCATAAATTAATAACAGTGGAGTATTATATATAGAAAGAAACAAAAAACACATCTACGTATACCACTAAAGATGTTTAAAATCCTTCTCGGTTTCAGTATTTTGTTCATGTACTATCGCTTAGCTATACTGATTAATCAAATTTAAGATTTAATGCATTTTGTGATTATATTGTCAAAAATGTCGTTGTAGTATAGTGGTAAGTATTCCCGCCTGTCACGCGGGTGACCCGGGTTCGATCCCCGGCAGCGGCGATTTTTTTTTTGTTCAGCTGGCTTTGTTCAAAAGGGTTTGATCCTATATAACATGAGCCGCCATAGTCAAACTATTACAAAGCTTAGGCAAGGTTGATTAGCGGATATATATATTAGTCAAAGTGATTCAGAACAATTATTATGTTATTAATTACCCTTAATTCTAATGAAGATTATAAAACAAAACCTACAAAAAATAAAACTGGAGCAATGATATAGAACAAAGAAAAAGTTGCTCCTCTATATCTAAAAAATATAAGAAAAAAAAAACTTGAAAAGATCTAATTAAGCTCGTGAACAATTTTGTTTTCTACACACGAGGCTACGAGAAGCCCACAGCCACATTAGCTTTCTCAGGAGACTGCATTTCAACGTCTACTTCCTCATCGATTCTTGGCATCATCATAGAGAGAACCTTGATTTCACAACCGTTACAACAACACTTGACAACTTCTACAAACTTATCATCAATGTTCCCTTCTTCGTCATCCCCTTCCTTTCCCCATAGGACCGCGCAAACTCCCACCAATAAAATCGTCATTCCAAGAACCCTAATATTTCAGAGTTGGATAAATATATATATTAGTTTAGAAACATGATGATCCCGGAACCATATGACCTAATTGGGTGATCAACATCAAGAGGTGAGCTTACCCGCCAAGGTATAAATTCTGGCCGAGGATGAGGAAACCAATGATGGATCCAATTATGACAACAAGGGGGTTAAAAGCAGTGACAAAGACAACGCTCTTTTGTTTCGTCATTATTCCTTGAACGTAGTATGCTATGCCAGACGTTATTATGCCCTATAAAAAAATGTATAACTATATCAGTATTCTAGTTCCATATATATATATATATAACACAAGTTCTTAATTATATAACATCAGGACTGGACGAACCCCGTAAACAGAGGCGAGAAGGTTCATGTCAAAGCCAATGTTCCATGCAGAAAGGTTTGGCTCCATCACAAACGTTAAGGCTGTCGACTGTAACGTTCCCATGAAGCACACCATCGTCGATAATGAAAGGTGAGATGAGTATCTCTTCAACGTAGCCGCCTGAATAAATAAAGAAAATATTGTCCTAATTCGTTAGAAGATTGCCTTTTTTTAATTAATTTTATGGTTGATATGAAAATTTGTTATATGTATTTAGTATATAATATTTTCTTATAACAAAAGGGAATTTAATTTAGACCATTCTTTTAAGTTTTCTTTTAGATTTCTGATTGTAAGTGTCATCCGTCGAAAGAGATATATATAATTAAGTACCTGAAGAACAAAAAAGGAAGCCCAAGAAAAGGAGGCGATGAGGAGGAATACGGTGGCTTTGAGGTAGTCCTCACCGGCCGGTAACGAAGCATCGCCGGAGAGATGAGATCGGAGAAAGTTGAAGAGAGGAGTTCTGAATAAAATCATCAACATGGCTCCAACCACTATCACTAACGTCCCCACCACTTTTGCTTGGAATCTTACTTTTCTCATCTCCACCTTCTCCATCCTTTAATTTTATTTATTTTCACCAAAATATTTAAATCACACATCATCATCAACGTGCCATATATTGTGTATATTAACCTATATATTAATATGTATTTAGCTATCATTGTATATAAAGTTATATGCTTTTAAAAATTAGGTACCTGCAAATTATGGAAATGATAAAGGTCAAAGCAGGAACGATATTGGTGACGGCGCCGGCAAAAGTTGGTGAAGTAAGTTTGAGTCCGGCGTAATATAAGTTTTGATCGATCAGAGGCCTGTTCGTTGTAAACAATTTACAAATAATTAATTAAGAAAACATGAATACATGCACACATCAAGTGATTGTTAATTAATTTTCGAAAATTTAAAAAAGACTACTAACCCAAGAAGAGCTAGAACAAAAATCTGCATGAATATTGGAAATGTCATCTTCGGCCTCACTTTCCTAAAAGAACCCAAATCATTACCACAATGTTTAGTATCCGATGAAAATCGATCGAACTCGCAACATTTCTGAGAATATGTTTACCGCTCAGAGAGAAGAGCAAAAGGTGCAATAGCAGCCGTGGCAAAGGCGTTACGATAAGCCACAAGGACGTAATGGCTCATGCCGCGGTCGAGCACAACCTTAGCCACGAGGTTCATCCCGGCGTATCCGAATTGAAGACATACCATAGCAAAGTAGGGTTTGGCTGATTCCGACATCTTTAAGTACCCCATATCAAAAGTTTCTCTTATCTCTTTGTTTTAAGTATGGATGGGATACACACAAACCCTTTTAGATAAGAGATTAAGAGAAAGGTAATAGAGAGTAAACACTAAACACACACACTTGTAGAGGCTTTGTGCTCTTCTTCCGAACAAATTGGTGAGACTTGAGAGGTTCTCTTGTATTTATATAGCTAGAGGCATCATGTTCGGATGAGTTCGAATGCACTTTTGTTTTTTTGTTTATCTTTCTAATAAGAACTAATTAATTATTTATTTTCTTTTTAATGACGTTGGCAATTATTATTCCGTTAGAATTCTCTTCTTCTTTGTTTCTTTTTTCTTTCTTTCTTTCGGCTTGCACCTAATTATATTTTCTCAACAGCGCAAAAAAAAAAAAAGGTAAATCAAATTTGGGATAACAGCCATATATTGTAGTACTAATTAATTGATGGTAAAATCGTCATAAACATTTTAGAATTTGACATTTAATTCATTGAAATATCATTATACTGTTCATATACATGATCGAAATGAAAAAAGAAAAAAAAAGCATACGTAAATCAGCAGTGAACACACACAATCTCCTCCAATTCTATCATATAGATGAGTGACGACTGATATTTGTTTGGTTAGGGAAAGAAAAGAAAAAAAAAACACGAAACCACAATACAACTGTACAAGTGGAGGGAGTGAATTACAAGTGGCAGCAGATATATATGAAGTGGAACCCAGGCTTACGTACCTTGTCTGTGACTGTGAGACCCTCTCGTTTGCAAATAATGTTGCAAACAATTTGCTAATTTGGAGGACAAGTGGCTTTTCCGTGGGAGCAGTAGTAACCATATCCATATATGTTGGGATGTTTTTTACATGCAATAAATATAAACAGAAATAACAACACACAACGCAATCTAGAAAAGTGCTTACTACTGTGTTTGATTTTTGGTGTGGTGAAACAATGTTTGACTTTGCGTTCTATACAGAAAAAAAATTAATTACAACTTGATAATCATTAGAATTAAAGTTATTACAAACCTAAAACTAGAAATAGACAAGGGAATAGATGTTTATCCTATGCAGATATGTATATGTGTATACATAATCACTTAATGAGTGAGTGTGTGAAGATAGTAATCCACAGAAAAATCCAGGTTATATAAACTTTGGTCTACAGTTTATTAGTTATATACACTCTTTTCATATAAGCTGTAGTGAATAAAAAGATCAGAGCAAATCTCAGTGATTAATTTATTGTGATATGTTTCTTTACAATATATATAATGGGAGGTGCTTCGTTATGTTGCAAGCGGTATGGCTTCATTATTTTGTTGAAAAAAGTTAATAAATTAAAAGAAAATCAAGTTGGGCAATGATCCATTACCTTCTCTAGAATATGCATATTAATATGATCACTTTATGTGACACTATATATTGGATACTTTGACAAAGTTAGGGAAGATTTTTGCCGAAACTCATTTTTATTTACCAGCTGTAAATATGTTTTATATTTACGAATCAATTTACAAAATCGTCCATGGTATATATCAAACTTCAATAATAGTATATTTATTTATGAGTTGTATCAGTCGGGTGTATGTGTCGACGTTACTGTTCCAAATGCTTCGATTGATTCGAATATATTCTCTGTGGCTTAAGATTTGGGATTTTATGCTTTTAAGTTGATGGATCACATGCATAGGTTTCTAATCAGAACTTTTAATGTTTTAATTAGGATGATGACCCATGGGTATTTATGTTGTGGATATGCTAATTAAGTTCTTGATTATAATATTAGGATAATAATTAGATTTGATAATTAGAGTAGCACTGTATAAAAAACAATTACTAGATAGACAAGAAGGATCGGATAAAGTGGGATCGGATGAAGAATGTGGGTGCGATTTTGGGTACCAAAGAGAAATGGAAACAAAGAGGCAAACAAATCCATATGGGCATCTAATCATATTCCAAGCATTCCCAAATTTATCTCTTCCCACTCACTTTTTTTTTTTTGGACTCCAAATACATTTTTTTTTATTAAAAATTTTAGTGGCTTCAAACATATGAATTGACATTTTGATGGAGTATTATTTCCTTAATTAAGATGGTGTATATAAGCTCACTCTACCTCATTCATCAAACATACATATATATATATATATATATTCTCATTTTAAAAATATTTTACTCATTGAATTTTTAGCATTTTACTTTATTTCAATATTTTCGACTCTTAAAAAAACTTTTTTTTTTTCAAGTTTACTTCTGCGTTTCCTTTCATAACCAAATGTTAACATAATCCTTAGAATTATACATCGAAGAGGTCCAAGAGGATATTAGCTAGTATAGAATTGAGGTATAGTGAGGATTAATAGACTAAAATAGTTGAGTATACATCCTTGTTTTACAAGGATGTCGGCCACATGGTTGACCTCTCTCTCTCACACACATGATTGAAAACAGTCGAAGAGAAATGAGATGCCCACAAGTGAATATCTCCCATTGTTTCTTCCACTATATATATATATATATATATATGTATATATCAAACCATTATATAGAAAGAAAAAACAATCAACTGTTAGTTCTCTTCTTACTGTTTGTGGTTAGTCACTCTCCTTATCTCATAATATATTGTGGTATAGAGTATAACATTTTTGCAAAAGATAAAACAAAAGATTTGATATGAGGAATAAATGAAGAGAAACATAAAACAAAGTATAGATTCCACCGGCCAAAGCTTTGGAGTATACGTACGTTAAATGAACAGGCGACGCTATAAAATGATGGGATTAGGAAAAGCGAAATGGGCCTCTCTATTGCTTTGGCAACCTCTTTTGCTTGTCTCTTATTAGCATCCTCAGCTAAAAGATAGTAACATGCAGTCGTATAAATGACTCATTCAAGTAAAAGGTTCAGAATGTTGTACGTTCATCATGTTACATATTTATGATCTTTTGATTATAAATTATACATGTAATGCACGGCTAATTTTAAAAGAATATTGTTTTAAGATGGTAAATATGAGGCTTTTTTGTTATTATGATTTAACTTAATCTTGAAATCAGTTCAAAGTAATTGTTTTCTTTTGTATCGTTTGTTTCAAGTTTCAACATTCAAAACTCGAAATGAGCATGAAACAATCCAATTTGGTTTGGTTGGTATTGTTGGATATCCGAACAAAACCAATAAGAACACTTCTGTTCAAAGTATAGTAACACGAACTATTGATGATTTGATGGTCAAAGATTAAGCTCAAACACGAGATTCTTCTAACTTTAAATTAACATCTGTAAACATTGTTTTCACTAAAAAAGAATGAAAGCAAAAAGAAACAAGTATATATAGTTTTTACAAAAAGTGTTCAAAAAAGAAATCTGCTTTTATAAATAATGAAGTTTGACTGACACAAACTAATACAATGCACGTAGATCAATCATAGATAACATATTCATAAGCAATTATATCTTCAAAAGCTTTGATTTCTACTTTCTTTTTTTCAAGTAAAGCAACAACGGTGCACCTTTCTTTTCTCGTCGTCATTGCTCTTTTCAGTGACGAAAAAATTATTCTGTTTTCTTTAATTTTTTTTTTTTTTGGTAATAAGACATATAACAACCTCTAGCTTTAAATTGTTTAATTGTGTAACGTTTGAGTAGCAAACACATTCCCGTATCATAGAAAAAGGTGTAAGGCCACGCGCTTTTTCTCCATGATCTTTTCGTAATATAATAGTAATCTTTTTAAAGAAAAGGAATCGTAGATATGTTAGATCTTTGATATTTGTTTGTACCCATGACAAGTTCTAGCTAAAATATACATATATTATCTCATCTCTCTTTAACATATTGGGGATCTTCAGAAAACATATATGTCTTGTGGTCAAAACATTTTATGCACCATTACCAAAGGAAACATAAGAAAACAAGTCTCAAACTCGATAGATCAAGGATATCAATTCTCTTTACAAATGAGGTATATGAGATATGGATCATCAACTTTAATAACTAGTTCTGATGTTGGAACATTATCTTATATGAATCTAATTAAATATCTAATGGATGTGCGTGTGTTAAGATATCGACATGTAACGTAAAGGTTATGAGATGATCTGAATAGAAAGACTCATGCGTGTGTCAAGAAAACACTTGATGATCATGATGATCAAAAGCAAAAATCTCCAACTCTTCGTAAAGATGTATTATACAAATTAATCAGCCCATTTTGTTGTGGTTGTACGTTACATCACTTACTTTACTACTACTACTGCAGATGATCGATGAAAAAGAAGAAAAGCACAAGAGGACATTATATAAAGTTAAAAAGTGTTTTTGGTCAAAGAATCCTTTTCTTATAAAACATATATATCTGAGAATAGCATAGACATCTATGACTCTTTTCCAAGCGCACAATACTTTTTTTTTGAAAGAAAATTCAATAATCTGGGCAATCTTGTCAAGTTTTTTTTTTTTTTGTCATCGGCAATCTTGTCAAGTTTATCTTTAAAATAATTGAAAGCATGTGTTTCAAAAAGAATAAAAAAAATTGAAAGCATATCTTATGGTTCAGAATCAAAAGATGAATTAAACGATTATAATTCAGAATCAAAATATTTTATTTTGTTCAAACAAAGTAGCTAAAATTGTTTTTTCTTTTCTTCATAATCTAAAAATAAAACTATAGAGTATCATGTAACGCTACCGTAAGCATCCTTTATCTTCGTTATTGGTAAAACTACAGAGACCCATATAATAATTTTTATTTTGTAACTTTAGACCATCTTTAATGGTAACATCTAAAGGAGTATCCCCTAAGATACATTTGAGAAAATATCTTGCCATTTCAGATTGTTGAATTGGGGAGACTAGTGAGTTTCAGTGAGGTGTTCATCAAGGCTAGTATCAAGAAAGATGGAACGTTTGTTGATCTGAAAGCGCAGTAAGTTGCTGAGGCCTATACGAAGAAAAAAACAAGAGAAGTTGACTGATCTTGAGTCCGAAATCACAGAGCTTTCAGATGGTCGTAATCCAGTGCTAACAGTAGAAGAAGATAATGACCTCTTCATTCAGGTAGCTTCGTTTACATTATGCATCGTTTACATTATGGTTTACATTATGCTTTTTAGTTTTACATTCATATTCTTGCTTGTTTTTGAATTTTCATAAATTCATTTTCTTTTAGTCTACATTCACAAATGATAGAGGAGCATTGTTTGATATTGAAAGCCTTAAGAATATGCTCAAGGATAAGGTACACAACACAGAAACTTTAGCTTCATTCCGGCAAATACAACAACAGCTTAAGAATGCTGAACATAAACTGAAGGACCAAGCTGCTCTTATCGCACAGCGAGAAGCAGAGAATGCTCGAGTTGCAGCTACTCAGAAGACCCAGACCGCCGAGCTTGCGATTGTCCAAAAGTTCTTGAAAACCGTTGAGAGATTCCTTGCCAAAGAAACTGCTTCTGATCATCCACCTATTGAACCTGTTTAGCTTTATAACTCTCTTTCTTTTATAAAATTTTAAACTTATGTTGTGTTTAGGAAACATGAACAACTCCTTATCAGTTGGAATTGTTTTTCTGTTTGAATGCACTTAAATTTTTATTTTGATGTGTTCTTGAGATTTAAGATTTCTTTAATTTGTTTTTTGTTATTACTTTTCTTGAATCAAGAACCAAATTTGATTGCAAAACGTAATTAAGAAAACGATAACCAAGTAGTAGAGGTATTCAGTAGCAATTTTGTCGTAAAACGATTAAAGATATGAGTCGTAAATCAGTATCTAATGTTATGACTACATACCGACGCCAAATTTAGTAGCAAACTTCAATCGCTACTCTGTCGCTATACAATCGCCAAAACTTACGACTGATGTACGACTACATACTTAGTAGCAAAATTTCGTCGCTATGTAGTCGCCAAATCTTACGACTGCGTTCCAACTGATAGAAACTGTCGTACATCAGTCGTAACTCAGTAGCTATTTTGCGACTGATATGTTTTACGACTAGACAATTAGCTACATCACATATTTTACGACTGATTGCCTACTCATTTTGCAGTAGTTAAAAGCTCGTTGTAGTGTAGTAATTTATTTATTCTAATTTAAAAAATTTAATAAATTAATTTATTATATGATAATCCGCGCAGGACATTATCTAGTAACAATAGAAAACAGAATATTTCCTTTTTCAACACGGAACCTAACGATATTTATTTCATACTTGCCATGCACACAAACACAGAACAGAACATTAAAAAAAAAAAAAAGGAGACAAAACCCTAGTTAACAAAATCATCTATCGCATCGTTTACTGAAACTTGGGAGAATCATGACGAGAATGTGCGATCTTCCACCAGAATTAGTAGGGATGATATTCACCAAGATTCCCATAACATCTATAAGAAGCGTGAGATCCACTTGCAGATATTGGAAGTCTTTAACCAAAGACTGGGTTTTGGGTAAAGGGGAGGCTAGGGAGCAGTTTTTGGGGTTCATGACGATGGATTCTAAGGTTTGTTCACTGAGATTCCATCTCCGCCGCAAAAACAACTGCGAGGAAGACGGAGACTCTCTTGATCTCTCTATAAAGCAGGTAGATGTACTTAATCAAGTCGACATATCTAAAGTATTTTACTGCGACGGCTTAGTATTGTGCGTAGCCAAAGACAACTCAAGGCTCATGGTGTGGAACCCTTATTTGGGTCAAACAAGGTGGATCGAACCTAGAACAGAATTCCACACACTGTACACGTATGCTCTAGGATACGATATCAACCGTAACTACAAAATCTTGAAGTTTATAGATAGTGAAGGTTTTGAAAAGAAGGACTTCTTCGGGTACGAAATTTACGACTTTAACTCTAATTCATGGAGGGTTCTCGACGTCACTTCTAGCTGGTATATACAGAATTATCAACGTGGCGTGTCTTTGAAGGGGAATTCTTACTTTTTTGCTCAATAGAAAATAGGACATTACGTTGTCTCTAGTGGATTAATAATAGCACCTAATTTGTCTAGTAAAGTAAGAAGATTGCCTCGTGGAGTAGCGGTATCGGATATTAAAGATTTTTTACTTTGTTTTGATTTTACAAAAGAGAGATTTGGACCGCGTCTGCCTCTTCCGTTTCACTCTAAGATCGGTGAGTATGTTGCCCTCTCATGTGTAAAAGAAGAGCAGCTCGCTGTGCTATATCAACGAATGAAACATAATTGTCCTCCTACACTATATATTTGGGTTACGACTAGGATTGAGCCCAACACTCTCTCCTGGAGCAAGTTTTTGAGGGTGGAAATGAGACCATTTGAACTCTCTGGTTCGTTTGGTGTTAACGCTGAGAGTTTCTTCGTTGACGAGGAAGAGAAGGTCGTTGTTGTTTTCGATTGTGACTTATATCTACGAACCAAGACCATTCGGTACCACAAATCTTTTATCATGGGAGAAGGTGGATACTTTAAATCTGTGAATCTCGGAGAAGCTCCCTATATCGAGGAAACTTGCCCCAAGTTGGGATACACTAACCAAATTTATCGTCCTCCACTTGTTTGCTCTTCTTCTTATTTTCCGAGTTTAGTGCAACTCAACCAATCTCGCAAAAGGAAAGAAGGAGATAATAATTAGATTGTTTCTTGAAATTATCTCTAGATGATTTCAGTTCTTTTTTCATGTTCTTCTACTCTTTTTAATTGCTCTTTACCAATTGTGAAATAAACAGTTGAGAATTGCATATAAATGAATGTATTTCTCATGTTTCCTTCCCTTCGTCCGTGGAGATGATGACTTCGTTTAAAAAATAATGTTTTAAGAGACAAATGAAAGTAACAAACATCACAAACTACATTGTAGATAATTTTCATATATGTATCTAATATATTTTGGCATGCATCAAGATTTGAAGAGCTTTTTTTTCTAAGATATAAATAAGTATTGGTTAGTCAAGCTGCTGAAGAGGAACATAATAATTGCCTGGAGGCGTCTTCCTTAAGGTCCTTGGACATGGCCGATGGTATTCCGTGATGTTCCAAGATCCACGGAGTTGCTTCTTTCGCAGATTTATAGTTCACCGTAATAACTCGTTCTTTTTCTAAGTCCAGCCTCAAATCTTCTGCACTACACTTCTCTATGAGATCACTTAGATGTCTCAGATTCAACACTTCCACTCCGTTCACTTTCTTCACCTGTACGTAGGATTTAGTAAAACTTTATATAGTTATGTTTCTCAAGACACACATACATGCACATTATGAACGTGAAACTATATATATATATATATGTGATTCCCTTTTATATTTATACTGGAAAGTTGCTCATGCGTGGGTTATATATGAAATATTAATTTGAATTAGAAATTGAAAACTACATTAAGATATGTAGTTTATAAGTAATTGTTAATATAAAACATATTTGTGTACATTATAAACAGTAAAAGTAAATAAAATATATATTTGAAAAATATGAAACCGAATGAGATCAAAACAAAGTGATACAAATTAGCACATACATAATATAGTAGGCAATTGTAAATAGATATTAATTTTTTGTGTGTACATTGTTAATATTAAAAGTAAACAAAACTCATATTTCACCTAAGATATATGATTATTTTACACCTTACTTAGAAAAACTTTTTCAATTTAGAAAATATTTCACCTGAGATATAAGAGCTTTTGATCTATAATTATGTAAACACTAAAAAAAAAAAATCAAAAGCCAAATCAACAGATGAAGATTATTTGAAAAAAAGAAGTTTGATATTTTTCATTCTAATTGATTAGAAAAGAAGCTCACATATACGTAGATGAGATCCTTTTTTATATATTAAGAATTATTTTATGTAGAATTTGTTCAAGAATAAAATTAATATTGAAACCATTTAAGAACAAACATAAAAATTGACATAACTATAAAAGCTAAAAGAAATAGGGAACCAAGTATGTATGTAAATATGGGCTTATGTGTAAGTCTTTCTTTACTTGGGTCTAAGTTGTATGGACTTGTAACAAATTGTAACCCAATAGACCGGCTATTTTGGGCCCTAAAGAAACCCACAAGTATTTTTAAATTGTTCGGTTCAATTCTGGCTCAAACCGTATTTGGAATACGTACCACCGACGAAGATAAAATGTGAAAAAGGCAAACTCATAGAAGAAGAAGACAAATTGAAAAAGGAAACAGTGTTCGACAAAAAAAAAAAAAAAAAAAAAAAAAAGAAAACAGTATGGAGCTTTTCATCTTCATCTTCATCCTCTGTTTCCCTATCTTCATCTTCTTCATCTTCTTCCCCAAAACTTCTTCTTCAGAGTTCGGTTTCGAGTCGTACCCGATCGTCGGGAGCATACCTGGTCTAGTTAGAAACCGTCACCGATTCCTTGACTGGATGGTAGAGACTCTATCCCGATGCCCAACCCAGACTGCTATTTTCCGGCGACCAGGGAAGCTACAGTTCGTCATGACGGCGAATCCGGCTAACGTAGAGTACATGCTTAAGACCAAATTCGAGAGTTTCCCTAAAGGCGAGCGGTTCATCTCGACTCTTGAGGATTTTCTCGGCCGCGGGATTTTTAACGCCGACGGTGCCATGTGGTGGAAACAGAGGAAGACGGCGAGCTACGAGTTCAGTACTAAGTCTCTCCATGACTTCATTATGAACAACGTCACCGTCGAAATCAACACCAGGTAAGGTATTACAAATTCAGAATTTTCAGTTTCAGTTTCGATTTTTAGTTTGCTGAGATTTTTTTCTCCTCCCAGGCTTGTTCCAGTGTTAGCGGAATCTGCCGCCACAAGAAAATTGATTGATCTTCAAGATATATTTGAGAGATTCGCGTTTGATAACATCTGTAAATTAGCCTTCAACGTTGATTCAGCTTGTCTCGGAGACGACGGAGCCGACGGTGTCAATTTCATGCGTGCCTTTGAAACGGCGGCGGCGATCATCTCGCGACGGTTTCAGTCTGTGGTTTCGTATTCGTGGAAGATTAAGAAGAAGCTCAACATCGGATCAGAGAGAGTTTTGAGAGAATCAATCGTGACCGTTCACAAATTCGCAGACGAGATTGTTCGTAACAGGATTGATCAAGGAAGAACAAATGACAAGAAGGAGGATTTGCTTTCTCGATTCATCAGCAACGAGGATATGAATTCTCCAGAGATGCTTCGTGACATTGTCATAAGCTTTATCCTCGCGGGACGTGACACCACTTCCGCTGCTTTGAGCTGGTTCTTTTGGTTACTCTCTGTGCATCCAGAGGTGGAGCATAAGATTCTACAAGAGTTGAAATCGATTAGAGAGCGAACAGAGAAGCGACTCGGGGAAGTTTACGGGTTTGAGGATCTTAAACTAATGACCTATTTGCACGCGGCGTTAACCGAATCTCTAAGATTGTATCCGCCAGTGCCAGTGGATACAATGAGCTGTGCTGAGGAGAATGTGTTGCCTGATGGGACTTTTGTAGGGAAAGATTGGGGGATATCTTATAACGTGTTTGCGATGGGGAGGATGGAGAGTATTTGGGGGAAAGATTGTGATCGGTTTGATCCCGAGAGGTGGATTGATGAAACAACGGGTGGTTTTAGAGGTGAGAATCCTTATAAGTTTCCTGCTTTTCACGCAGGACCAAGGATGTGTTTAGGGAAAGAGATGGCTTATATTCAGATGAAATCGATAGTTGCAGCGGTTTTAGAGAGGTTTGTAGTTGAGGTTCCGGGGAAGAAGGAGCGTCCTGAGATTCTGTTGTCGGTCACACTTAGGATGAGAGGAGGTTTGTTTGCGAGGGTACAAGAGAGATCTTGAGTTACTTGTTTCAGAAGCAATCTTTTAGTTTGCTCTTCTCATATCTTTTAGTGTCCATATTTAACTGTAAACGAACACGGTGTTAGTGGATTATCGAAATACAAGTGTGACAACAATGGTGGTTTGGTTACACTGCACTCGGTTTACATTTCAAGTCTTATTTTCATTTGTGCCCTGCGTGGGAGGTGTGAGCATTCTGCTTGACAGAGTCTCCTACGGTCCTACCAATCTTGATGAAAAGTGAAAACCTCATACAAGCTTACCATATTGGACCTTCAAAAAGCATACCTCAATCAAATCTTGGCTACACAATTGGCCTTTCTCCGGCTATATTCTCTCAGATATTGGCATAAAGGATTCAAGACTTTTGGCAGTCAGTATCCTAAGCCAAGCTTTAAAATTGTTGATGAACCGGAAAAGGAGACCATACCACTTGAAGAATCAATAGTGGTAATCAATTTTGCTTAAACGTCTCTACTTCGAAGACATCTCCAATGTCATACTCACACGTGTTAAGCTTTATGAGAAAGACTACTTTTGTGACATGGAATTTGATGAAAATTAAAATTGTGAAATACAATGTCATTATCGACTAAGTTTTATGATTTTCATCTAAGAATTTTATGTTTTTGCTTATAATTGCCCAAGAAAATAAACTATTATCGAATAACTGTTCCGAATTAACAATTAAGATTTTAAATTCAAATAAGAAACTAAATACTAGCAAACAAGAATTCAACAAAAAGTGCAAGAATTTGTTTTTTTTTTTTAATTATTCACACTACAGTACAAAGAAAAAAAACAACTAGTTTGCAAACTAAACCGTTCTATTTATAGGTTGGTAACAAATCGTTGTAGACCAATTTGCAGCTCACATAATCATTTAATACGATTAATTCTAAACTAAATGCGTAATAATGAACCCAAAAAAAACAGTTTTGCAGGGACGAAATCACTGATTAGTGAAGTGATTATTACACTTGTCTTTCTCAAATCAGCGAAGCCCACCGGACCGGGTCATATACCGATTTAAACCGTAGATTACAACTCCTGGCTTTTGTTTAGTTAAACTAAAAACACTGAGAGAACCAAAGCAAAACTCATCAGAGAGCATCTATCTTTCTTCTTCATCGGGGCGGACTATACGTCTTCTTCTTCTTCTTCTTCTTCTTCTTCTTCTTCTTCTTCCTTTGCTGTCTTTGTCGCAAATCAGACTTTTTTACCAAAATTATACCATTTTTTGAGTTTCCGTTCCCTCTCAATTGAAGCTATCATCGGCCTCTTCCTTCTCTCTCTAATTGGTTAGATCTTCAGCTTGTTCTTTTCTTTTTAGATGGTGACCATTTCTATGCGTTAAGGATCACGCTCTTCATGATCATATATATATATATTACCTTTTATTCATTCCTTTTGGGGTTTGGTTCTTCGTTTTTCGTATTGGACTTTTTGATCTGGCGCAGAAATATTCTCATTGCAAGAGATAGGGTTTTTTTAGATTCTTTGATTTGAGGATCCTATTTCGTGACATTGTTGATTTGTTTATATATTAATTATGATTACCAATCTTAGGAAATTGTTTCTATTAGTTCCCATTTTTGGATATTTTTTTGACATGTTGTTGTGCTCAGGTTTCTGATTTTATGACTCCTTCCTCTTATGGCTTGGAATCTGCAAAAATGATTTTTCTTTTTCTAGTTTTGGCTCATCGCTTCCACTCCTCGTTTAGCTATTATAGCTCTCTTTGATTGTTTCGCTTGTGGATAAAACTCAGTTAAAATTTTGGGTTCTGGGAGATCACCATTTCAGTTACTGGCTAGCTGTTTGATGGACATCTAATTTGATTTGTGTTCCTAAATTGATATTTTGTTGCATTGAATATTATCTGAGTACTCTTCTTGAGTAGTTGTTACTACATCAAATAGTCTTGAAGATGATATAATAGCATCATGCCATCATTTGCTTGTTGTATTTGATTTGACTGGTTTATTCTTAATCTTGTGCACTTATCTTTCTCGTTGATTATGCTTGTCTCTCAGAATGATGGAGGCCAAACCAAAAAGGAGGATTGTTACAGAGAATGGAGATACAGGGGAGGATTTGGTTCTTGCTACATTGATTGGAAATGGTGATGATGTGGGTCCTCTTGTTAGGCATGCTTTTGAAATGGGGCGGCCTGAGCCTCTCGTTCATCAGCTCAAAAATGTGGCCAGGAAGAAGGAAGCTGAGATTGAGGATCTATGCAAGACCCACTATGAAGAATTCATTGTTGCAGTTGATGAGCTCCGTGGTGTGCTGGTTGACGCTGAAGAGCTTAAGAGTGACCTTGCAAGTGATAATTTCCGCTTGCAAGAGGTTGGTAGTGCCTTATTGGTAAAGCTGGAGGAGCTTCTCGAGTCTTATGCTATCAAAAAGAATGTAACTGAAGCTATTAAAATGTCAAAGATCTGTGTTCAAGCACTGGAGCTGTGTGTTAAATGCAACAGTTACATATCTGAAGGTCAGTTTTACCATGCCCTGAAAACCATGGATTTGATTGAAAGGAGCTACCTGAAGCTTATCCCACTTAAAGTTCTAAAGCTGGTAATAGAAAGAAGAATCCCAGTGATCAAATCACATATTGAGAAAAAAGTGTGCAGCCAATTTAATGAATGGCTTGTTCACATTAGGAGTTCCTCTAAAAATATCGGACAGACTGCTATTGGCCTCACTGCTTCAGCTCGCCAGAGGGAAGAAGAAATGCTGGAACGTCAAAGGAGAGCAGAGGAACAAAACACTGGGGGTTTGGGAGAACTGGCATACACTTTAGATGTTGAAGACTCGGAACAAGATTCTCTTTTAAAGTTTGATCTGACACCTCTGTATCGAGCTTATCACATCCACACTATACTTGGCGTCCCAGAACGATTCCGTGACTATTACTATGAGAATAGGCTACTACAGCTCAAATCAGATCTGCAGATCTCTTACACACAGCCATTTGTGGAATCATACCAAACATTTCTAGCCCAGATTGCAGGGTATTTCATTGTGGAGGATCGGGTGATTAGGACAGCTGGAGATTTCTTGTTGGCTGATCAAGTTGAGACAATGTGGGAAACAGCCATTTCCAAAATTGTAGCGGTATTGGAGAACCAATTTGCCAGAATGGATTCGCCTACTCATCTGCTTTTGGTGAAAGATTATGTAACTCTCCTTGGCACAACCCTTAGACAGTACGGTTATGAAGTGGGGCCAGTTCTTGATGCTCTTGACAAGAGCCGAGATAAATACCACGAGCTTCTTCTTGAAGAGTGTCGAAAGCAAATTGTGACTGCTATTACAGAGGACTCTTATCAGCAGATGGTAATCAAGAAGGAAGCTGACTATGAAAACAATGTATTGTCGTTTAATCTTCAGACCTCAGACATTATGCCGGCTTTCACATATATTGCCCCCTTCTCTTCTATGGTACCTGATGTTTGCCGCATCATCAGGTCATACATAAAAGGATCTGTTGATTACTTGTCCTATGGAGTGAACACTAATTTCTTCAGTGTTCTGAGGAAGTACCTCGACAAAATCTTGATTGATGTATTGAATGAAGTTATCCTCGAGACGATTAGCAACAATTCAATTGGTGTATCTCAAGCTATGCAGATTGCAGCAAACATATCTTTCCTCGAAAAGGCCAGTGACTATTTTCTACGGCATGCTGCTCAACTTTGTGGAATCCCAAGCCGATCAGTTGAGAGGCCTCAAGCCAGTTTAGCTGCAAAGGTTGTCCTCAAAACATCTAGAGATGCAGCATATCTTGCTTTGTTGAATGTGGTTAACACCAAGTTGGACGAGTTCATGAAGCTCACAGAAAACGTTAACTGGACTACAGAGGAAATGCCACAAGGGCCGCACGAGTACATGAACGAGGTTGTTATATACCTTGAGACTGTTATGTCGACGGCACAACAGATCCTCCCAATGGATGCTTTATACAAAGTTGGGGTTGGAGCGATCGAGCATATTTCAAACTCCATCGTCTCTACATTCCTCAGCGATAGCATCAAGAGATTCAATGCTAATGCAGTCTCGGCCATTAACCATGACCTAAGAGTGATAGAAAACTTTGCTGACGAGAGATATCACTCAAGTGGGTTAAACGAGATCTACAAAGAAGGAAGCTTTAGAAGCTATCTGGTTGAAGCTAGGCAGCTGATAAACCTGTTGTCGAGTAGCCAACCTGAAAACTTCATGAATCCAGTGATTAGAGAGAGGAACTACAACACTTTGGATTACAAGAAAGTGGCTACAATCTGCGAGAAGTTTAAGGATTCTCCAGACGGGATATTCGGAAGCCTGGCAAATAGAAACACAAAGCTGACAGCTAAAAAGAAATCCATGGATATGCTCAAGAAGAGACTCAAGGAATTTAACTGATTCTCTATGAAACACTCGTAGGTCCTGACCTCCCACTCACATCTTCATCATCATTATCATTTAGGTTTACTATTCCCTTAATTTGCTTCTTCTGGTTACCTTCTGATCTCGCTTTTGTCTTTCTTTCTTCTTTTCTATAACCCAATTTATTTAATCAGTTTCAGTTTTGTCCTAATGAAAAAAGTCATATTTATGTCTCAGGATTAATCATATGTGTAGAATGGATTCATAATCTAAGCTAGAAAGCTTCTAGCTTTAGATTCTAATTTGACAAAACTGTTCTTTTAAATAATTTACAAGCATGAATTGGAGGGCATTTTCGCATTTTCTCTAATAAGTTGTGTGGACCGAAGACTCCATTTTGTCTTTCCAAGTCACCTTATCCGACTTGACACCAAAACCTGAACACTTTCAACCTCTCAAGAAAACGTAACATTCAGCTTTTGTATTCCGACCAAAAAAATTGAAAAAAATGGCGACTGCGTCTCTAGTTCCGACATCTAAAATCTTTTCGTCCTCTACGAAATGTCCAGCCTCGAATAAAGTAAGGACTGGCGTAGCTGTTGCATCGTTGCAACAACAACCAAGAAGAAGAGAGCTGCTGCTGAAATCTGCGGTGGCTATTCCGGCGATTCTGCAGTTGAAAGAAGCTCCGATATCGGAGGCGCGTGAGGTGGAAGTTGGATCATTCTTACCTCCATCTCCGTCTGATCCTTCCTTCGTCCTCTTCAAAGCCAAACCTTCTGATACTCCTGCTCTCCGCGCAGGTGATGCCTAATCCCATTCTTCCTGTTTTGCATTGTTCCTTTACTTAATGAATTTGATTATAGTGGTGAATTACTTAGTTCAGTTTGGCTTATTCACAACATTACCGTTTGATATGATTTTGGTTTGAAGAATTTTAGTTTGGTTCTGTTTTTTTTATTTCCATTTCCTTGTGCTTGAGTGTGGTGGATTGGTTTTATGAACTTTTAAATTAATGATCTTTGAAATCTAGTCTGGTTGCAGGAAATGTTCAGCCCTATCAGTTTGTTCTACCGCCAAACTGGAAACAGTTGCGAATAGCCAACATTTTGTCAGGTAATTACTGCCAACCAAAATGTGCAGAGCCATGGATCGAAGTGAAGTTTGAGAATGAGAAGCAAGGCAAAGTTCAAGTAGTCGCATCTCCTTTGATCCGCTTAACCAACAAACCAAATGCAACCATTGAAGATCTTGGTGAGCCCGAGAAAGTGATTGCTTCTCTTGGTCCCTTTGTCACTGGAAACTCTTATGACTCTGATGAACTTGTTGACACTTCAATCGAAAAGATTGGAGATCAAACGGTAATGACACAATAAGTGGCTTGCTTCTCTGACTGATCAATCATTGAGGAAAGTTTCTGAGTATGTTTTGGTTTATATCTTCTTGTGACAGTACTACAAGTATGTGTTGGAGACGCCATTTGCTCTCACAGGAAGTCACAATCTTGCAAAAGCGACAGCAAAAGGAAACACGGTGGTTCTGTTTGTTGTGAGTGCTACTGAAAAGCAATGGCAGAGCTCACAGAAGACTCTTCAAGCCATTCTTGATTCTTTTCAACTGTAAATCCTGAGTTACTGTCGAATTCTGGACTCAAGAAACCAAAGAGCAAACGGTATGTGTGAAGTGAGTGTCTGTGTGTAGTACAATAAACTCGGATTCTTTTCTACTGTAAGTTCGAGCTATGACTCAAAATTACATAGTTTTTTACTATTTCTTTTGCTTCGTGATTGAGACAGATCTCAGTGATAGTTTCCTCAGCTTGTCTCTACTCTAATCGTAAACATTAGACAATGAATAGGCCTGATGTATAATTTTTCTCGGGTTATAAAGAGCAACAGATTACAGGGTTAGGATTTCTATATTTGATTCAAAAAGCGAACAACGGTACAAGATGTTACTTAGATTCTGACACATTGTGTGGAAACTCCCTTCTTTTATGGTTTCTGCATACAGAGGAAGTCAAGTGGTCATGAGATGAGGGACTTCAGGTTGTGGAAGAACGCATGAGTATGTTACATACTTCACATCGTCCACAAGCAAGACTATAAAAACTCGGGACAGTGATTTTGTTACTCCCATCATCCCGTCAATGTCTCCTTCACCGCCTTCTCTGGGATCAACAAGCACAGAAACAATCATTGACGTGGAAGGCTTGGTGTCCTGGAGGGTCTTGTTGCTTGAGCTGTTATGCTCTTTGGTAAGATTAAAATCAGATACCGGAAGACCACCACGGAGGATTCTTCTATTCTGTTTTCCCTTGTGTGTATCAGTGGTGTGCTCAGACTGTTGAATAGGTGGAGAAGCAGGAATGATGGCGCCTGAGGTTGTGGAGACATCGAACTGAAAAACGCTGGTGCACATCCCTGAACTGAACATTGGCCCTATCAGTGGATACATTAAAAGAGGGTGTTATTATATGCAAATGCAAACGACTCAGTCCACTATTCTAGCTAAAGACTACTCTTTATGTCTCAAGGGGAGAATCAGAAACATTGGAAACTTGTGAATACCTGCAACACCTTCACGAAACCATTGCTGCATTTTACCATTGGCTGTTGTTGTTGATTTTAGTTGGTCTTCTGAAGCATCATTATAGCCAGACGATGACAGGGCTTTCCGCTTCTTGCTATAGATGTTCTTAGACATATCATCGGTCTTTGTCGAGTCAGGTAAAGGCAATGCATGAAAATCACCTTTATTAGTAGTTGATTCATCGCATTTCCCTCCTTCGTTCTTCGTTTCAGTAGCCATGGATTTCTCACTCTCCGTAATAGAATGAATAATCAAATTTCCATCGATCTTCACAAGCTTGTCATTCCTCGGAACAAATAGAGATGCAACTAGAGGTTCACTACTATTTCGAGGAGGCCCCGAGGTCTCTGTTGCAGAAACGTTTCTTCCCATTTCTTGATCAGAATCTCTCCCACAATGTGCTCTGTTACTATTAACAGACACATCCAAGTAACCATTAACATCCAAAACTCTCCCTCTAGACTGATCATAAACCCAGTCAGTGACGTAGTTAGACTTATAGCTAATGTTCACAATGGGAGCCAATGCACCAAACAAAAATAGACAAAACAGAATACCAAGAACACTAAAACTAGCAACCTTCTTGAACTTCTTCACCTTAGCCACGGATTGTTGTGGTTTCAATCGAGGAATAGGAAGCAAAGCCACTTGAGAACCCTGAGGTTTAACCATATAAGCCGGATACGGCAAACATGGATAAGGCACTGAATATATTCCAGGCCGTGGCTGAAGTGGTAGATATATATTACTTCCGGAGCTCACCTGGTGCCTCAAAGTGACATTTTCAGCCATGAAAAAAGACATCTTACTGTTCAAATCACATATAGTGGAATGCATAATCTTGACTTTATCTTCTAACTCCTCAACGTAATGTCTCTTCCTCTGTCTTGAAAGGTGAGCACTTTCACGGTTTCTAATGAGTCTCACGTTCCTCTTCTGATCATCTTCTGCGACACCAATACCTGCAAAACCATCTCGATCCATTCTCCTGTACTTGTTGTTCCAAGATTCGTTGCTGGTATCTTCTTCATCAATCTCTTTTCTCCTCTTCGGAATAGATGTCTTATACGTAGTGGCTTCCTCCTCCACCTTAAGTTTCTGATCGATCACCATTTGTGCGGATCCAAGTGAAGACGACGCATTTGTAGCTTCCAGGATATGAGAGACGTAATTCACCAACTCTGGAGTCGATGAACTCAAGCTATGAGTAGTAGTATCGGAGCAATCAGAATCCTTAGGCGATTCCTGATCGCAGGAGGCTGAAGTAGAAATCAACACGCCGTTATCATTCTTATCCGCGTCATCTTCGCCTGAAATTCCCGACGCCGGCGTAAATCCACGGAACAATTCTAGATTGGTAGCGTCAAGAGGAGTGAAGAAGGATTCGTTCTCAGATGGAAAATAAAGGTCACCAATACTGTCTGCAAAAGTGAAATCGAAGTCTCCGTCTCCGTCGTTTTCGATCAGGTCGGAGATCGAGTTCCCAAGGAGAGCTTGACGATCGGAGGTAGAATTGCAGAAATCAACAACTGAAAGAGGAGGGATGGCGATGGAAGAGAAAGTAAGAGAAGTGTCAGGAAGCTCCTCCAGAGGTGGTTCCGCCATTTTAGGAAAGCTTCAAGGTTTAAGGATTACTAAAAGAGTGAGGATGTATTATAGGAGACAAGGACGTTGGCCTCCTTCTTCTCCCGCTTCGGCGCGTGAGTGTCACTCAAGATCAGCAGATTTGATGAATTAAATGGACGAATGTAATAGAAAAAAAAGGAGCGTGGTGACATTGAAGTGCACGTTGACTGCATTAAGCTTTGGAGTGATGCTGCAGAGCAGAGCAGGGGTTGTTTATATATGCTCTCTTTTAACGTCTTTTATTAATTTCGACTTTTTTATTTAATTAGGAGATCGATCTCTCTTTACTCCTCCTCTCCAGAAGATAAAGTTCTATCTTTAGATATTTGGATCTTTAAAACTTAATCTAATCTTCTTTTTTTTTTTTATGTTCAAAACTTTCTTCTAACAACACTCTTGTGTCGTTTTGGAGTCTCTTTGACGTCAAGCATGTCTCCTTTCTTCTAGCATCATTATTATGTTTTTTTAATTAATAGATGATTATCAGCTATACATTACAAATCCGGCGACCAAGTATAACCATCCAGCAGCCATCTATATATATATATAAATAGAATTCTGACGGTAAACACTAAACACAACAAAAGAATGATCTTTGGACTCTGGATCCTACTTGATACTAACATCCTATGCTGTGATCTTAACGTATATGTTAATTAAGCATATATTAACATAAAGATGATTGCAAGATTCTCAGCTAATAGGCTGATAATATAATACAAACACATTGTGTTCTCGACATAATAATACTAGTCCATATATCCTTACGGTAGAAGAGTACCTTTAGAGGTCAACACACCTCATTCATTCTGTTTCACTTCGGATCATAATATAACACAGTAGTAATATAACAACATCACGAATTAGCACCCAAGCAAAGATGCCCCAATTGGGAAAACCCTGTCATGCATCTCGTAAAGAAAATCCTGGACCATCCCCCCTTGTGTCTCCTCCTTCTCAGCGTCCTTCTTGCAACACACGAATCCTTAACTTCTTTGTCCTAAGAAAGTGTAGACCCCGCCCCACCGCGCCAAGGCTAAGAAAAACATCCCATTCCACGTAAAGGGCCTAAAGCAAATTGTATTGAAGATGAAATATGCATTTATATATTACGATGAGGCTGAGTCACTATTGTCTCTACGTACGCCTGCTTATAAACTGATGCCCAAATCTTCGAGATTAATTGGAAGTTGAAACCTCATTTCTCCGGGACTATTTTTTCTAGTATTTTCCACCGTTAATATATTTTGGTTTTATATAGATGTGTATTTTTTTCTAAAAAAATATTTTATATTTGATGTCAAAAGAAAAAAGAATTTATGATTGTAATAAAAAAGAAAAAACTTATGTATGAGATTATTTGCAATTAAATGGAAAACAAAATTAATAAAAAAGAGGAGAAAATATAAAGTTTCCTTTCCCTCTCGTTTGCTTTGGCTTCCCGAGAGAGAGAGAGATAAGATTTGCTTTGCATTCATCTTTCTCTCTCGCCGCCCTCAATATGCTACGATTTCGATTCACCTCTTCCTCTTGATTTTTCTTCTTCTCTTTGCTGCCGAGAGGAAAAGGGAAACAAGGTTTAAGCAAGAGACGCGGCCAGGTCACAGAGGATTCTATCCAGAGCTAACTCTCTCTAGCTATACATCCATTCCCTTTTCTGATGGACGCCGCGTTGCCGGAAAACGCCGTGGTAGCCGGTGGTGCGGTTATGGGAGATTATGGGTTTAGTGTGGATCCTTTTTTGGTTGAGGCTTTGCAGAACCCTCGCCATCGTCTCACGAGTAAACTCCGTTCTTCTCTTCTTTTTTTTTTTTTACTTTGTTTTTTTTGTTGTTGTCTGATTCGTGTCGTAAATTCCAATTTCCTGAGATTAGAGCTGGTTTTTGTTGCGTGGACGAACAAGTTTTGATTTTTATCTGAATTTTAGCTTATATCGTGGTTAGGGATTTCAAATAGTTGTATGGAGATTGTTTGATAGCTCATTTAAGGGGAATGATTTAGCCACAAGTTTCGATATGTCTCTACTTCTCTGAATCAAGCTTGGGTTTTATACAGTAGTAGCTCTCAGCTTAGATTTGCGGTTTTTGAGTTGCCCATTTGCCATGTATTGTAAAATCATGGTTGATGTTATCAAAGCTATAAACTTTATTGTATGCGAGTGATTCATAAAGTAGGTTTTGGCTTAGAAGTGTTACTTATTAATATACTTGTTGAAGATCTTGAATCTGATACCTGTTTGAGTATATCTCCTTTATCTGGTTTTGTTGATAGTAGCTTGGCATTTGTGTGGTTATCTGGTTCAGTTGGTGCTATCTTGGCTTTTGTGTAGTTTTTCCATTCATGAATTACTCTTACTCATTCCTCTCTTTTTTTTCTTTGTTATGTCAGTTCTGCGGATGGAACTTGATGTTCAAAGGTTCTTGCAGAACCCTGAACAGCAGCAGTTTGAGTTCCAGCATTTTCCTACCTCGTATCTTCGTCTTGCTGCCCATCGTGTTGCTAACCACTATGGACTAGTCACAGCGGTTCAAGACAGTGGTGCAGATGGTAATGAAAACAGAATCCTTGTGACCAAAACAACAGAGAGCAAGTTTCCTGCTGTTCGGTTGTCTGAAATCCCAGTGGCTAAACCATCAGAAAATGGTAAATTTGAGCGCATGAAAGTTTCAATCAAGACTCGAACTTCTAATGGATCTGGCACTGGTGAACTAGAAAAAAAATGTGGTCCTTTTAGAAGTGTTGAAGAGAGGAAAGAAGAATATGACAGGGCTCGAGAACGGATATTTAGTGGTCTTAATTGTGATGACTCTTCATCTGAAAGTCCGGTGTATGGGAGGAATGCAAGTCTTAACAAAGATGACAAGCAAGAATCTAAGAATGCTTACGTTGAGGTTGAGAGGAACTTAAGCCTCAGAGAAAGTGGTCCAACATCTCGCGTTGCAATATTTAGAGACAGAGAGAAAGATCGGTTTGACCCTGATTATGACCGAAGACACGATAGGTATGAAAAGCAGTTGTTTGTTTTGGCAAACCCATTACTATGCTAGCGAAAAACATCTACTGTCAGTTTCATACATGATGATTGATGATAATTGTGTGTGTGAATGCAGGTACATTAGGAGCCTTCCGGTGAATCAGAATTTCAATTTACCACCCTTCAACATTCAGCAAATGCCTACACCATACTACGAAATGGGATTCACTGGATACAACCAAATTCCAAGTACTCCTGCTTTTCTTGGCTTCAGGCCACCTTCAAGCTCTATCACAAGTCCCTATGGCACCACAATTTTAAACCATGCTTCAAGGGATGCAATGTATATGCAGTGGCCCAATGCAGCTATGCTGTATGCTCATCCGTATGAACAGTTCATGAATGCTTCTCTTCAGGTAAATAAATATTTTATTTTCCTCCCTTCTTTCTTTCTTTTTGAAATTGTGAATTTGTGATCATAGAATGAAAACTTGTGCTGTTTCTCCAGCCACAGTTCTGCAGTCAACAACCAATGAGCTTCGACTACATGCGGAACCTGTAGGGGTTGTCTCTTTGCCAATCTTTATCTTTACCAGTTTTTTTCTAGAATCTAGGGACTCCCCTAGTAGGGACTGTTGTAATGGAAATTTTGAGTTGTAATGTCAGAATTCAGATTAAAGATACCTTTCTTTCTTTTTTTTTGTTCCTTAATGATCAGATTCTGTCTGATATGGAAACAAATGAACTACCTTTTTGGGTCAAATACTCATCGAAATTCTCTGTTTCAAAGCGAATGGTTACTGGTTACTGTTACGACAATGGCTTACTTAAGGTTTGCATTGCACGAGATCATGAGAACCAGTCATCCAAATATTTACATCATGTTATTCGTTCTGTTGATTCGGTACAAGTTTGTGTGAGACCAACAAAAACAATATATAATTTAACCAAGCGGAATGTTAATGATGGAGAATTGCAAGTTTGCTCGTATCAACTTTTCTTTACAAACCAATGCGGCGACGAAGAAACAGCACAGCAGATTTTAATGGTGCCCTGGAAAAATAATAGCATCAAGGTGAATGACTTATAGCTTCAAATAAATTGAACAGACTGGATAGAGAATTTTACCATAGAGGTTGGCTTTTGTTTCCTGATCGTGTATTCTCCTCATCTCTTTGTGGATCTGTATGGACAAGTCTTTGGAATTTTTCAGACAGGGCTTTGTAAGACTGAATCTCTGTTGGTTCGATTTGGCCAATAGCAGTTTTTAAGTGTCGCATGCTTATTTCCTCCGTTTCAAGACTCTCCTGATTGATAAAAGAATGTGAGACACTTGCGAAATATTTCAGGCTTTCCGCTGAAAATAAGGACTGGTAAACTAAAGAAAAGAGCTCACTTCGAGTGCAGCAATAGCTGCTTCTCTGCATATCAATGATATGTCAGCTCCTGTGTAGCCTTTGGTAATGGAGGCAATTTCCTTTAAACAAATATCAGAACTGCATGGGATTTTACGCAAATGGATTTTGAGTATTGCTTCACGATCAGCTTCATTAGGAGGTCCAACATATAACAAGCGGTCAAATCGTCCTGAAAATTTATAACATCTTCAGTTTCACCAAACGAACTTTCAAATTTGTTTGTGAAATTCAAAAGAACCAGAGAAAGAAAGTAATTGACCAGGTCTTAGTAGGGCAGAATCGATCTTGTCTGGTCGGTTTGTAGCAGCAATGACGGTAACACCAACTCTTTGATGCAAACCTGATTTCGACATTTAAGCAATCAGGTCTCTGGCAATTTGAAAACTACATCTAGTATCAATCATAAGGGTGGTTGTTACTAACCATCGAGCTCCACAAGAAGTTGGCTCATAACTCTGTCTGAAACTGAAACTCCATCATTTTCTTTCCCCCTAATGGAGGCAAGACTATCTATCTCATCAAAAAAGATAATGGAGGGGGCATTTGCTCTTGCCTTTGCAAAAAGGGACCTCACCGCCTTCTCTGATTCACCAACCCATTTGCTGAATAGCTCTGGACCTTTGACAGCAAGGAAATTGAGCCCGGCTTCAGAAGCTACTGCACGTGCCATAAGGGTCTTGCTACATCCAGGAGGACCGAACATCAGTATCCCACTTGGTGGCTTTGTACCTATTCTCTTAAATGCGTCCTGATGTTTTTGAGGCCATTCTACTGCTTCCATTAGTTGATTTTTCACCTCGTTTTGGCCACCAACATCTTCCCAGTTAACTTTAGGAACCTCTAATATCACCTAAAAGTTTCACACCAATCAGCCATTAGGATGAGATATAGTTAAGTGTGGTTTACCACTGGAGCATCTCTATATAAAACGCTCTAGGTAACAGACATCTGAATTTTCAAAGAAAACTACCAAGAGGCTGGACCACTGAAAGTTTTACAGTTCCTACCCTAACCAGAGGAAGTGACCAAAAAAAAAGCCAGTCATGTCGACTGAGTTTGCACCCTAACAATATATTGATATAGGTAGTGTCATTCATGCAATTTGATATATGACATGTAAAAAAGCGAAGAGGTCATCATCTTAAGTAGATCAGAAAACCAGAGAAAATGAGTCAGAATGAGGGAGTAGCTCATCATAAAGTCAGCTAAATTTTCTAGGAGGAAATGACAATACCTCTCGCATGGCACTAGGTCTGATTTTGGTCTTAGCATTTTCAAAATCTTCAAATCCTACACTTAGGGTATGTTCTCTTTCTTTGCTAAGCATCTCTTCAGAACAAGAGTTGCCACTGTTTTGAAGATTATCTGCTACTAGGGAGACTGTCCCATTTAAACCCAATGAATGCGGAGCCCCTGAAGTAGTGGATGAAACAGTGATACATGACGATGCAGAATCCGAGTTCTCAGATGATATGTCTGACAAAATTGTCGAGGACTCAGCAATAGGTGCTTCTTCAAGAGGCAAATTGCTAAAGGAGGATCTCTGATCAAGATGCCGCCTCAAGCAAACAAAGGCTGCCTCACAACACAGTGCACACAGATCTGCACCAACAAAACCATGTGTTGCCATAGCAAGCTGTTCAACCTGGATGTCTGAAACTGAGTGCTGCATCCGACGGAGAATTGTGTGAAGTATATCGGACCGTTGTGCAGAAGATGGTACACCTAAATTATTTATGAAATATATACAGTATTAGGGAGTAAGAATCTGAACTATATCAAGGATGGTCTGCCTTCCACAAGGTCCTCGTCTTACCAATTTCAATTTCCCTGTCAAGTCTTCCAGGCCGTCTAAGGGCAGGCTCAATGCTATCAGGTCTATTGGTTGCAGCAATTACGACAACGCCATCACTCCTACTTATTCCATCCATTAAATTCAGTAATGTAGCTACCATCCTCTGAGACAATTCCTCACCTCCTTCTTTCCGGGCAGGAGCAATGGCATCCAAGTCATCAATGAACACCTTTACAAGAAACAAAATTCACAAGCAGCTACTAACTTAGTATAATAAGATATCTATTTTTGGAGTAATAAGTGAATATCAAAAGATCTCAATACTCAGTTAAATAATAAAAAGGATAGTGGAAAACTCTAACCACAGCAGGTGTAGCATTGCTAGCAGATCTGAAAACCTCATCTAAAGCTTTCTCACTTTCGCCCAAATACTGGCTTATAATCTCAGGTCCATTCACAGGGAAAAAGTTGACACCAGAATCACGGGCGAAGGACCGAGCCAAAGATGTTTTTCCTGTGCCTGGAGGTCCATGAATAAGCACTCCCTTTGTAGGTCGCAAACCAAGACTAAAATGAGCATGCCAATTATAAACATACAAATAATTGTAAGTAAAAACAAAAATCTAAGAAGGTTTAATATTCACAGAAATTAACAGATGGACTTAGCCTTGCTAAATGAAGATGTTCTTAAAACTAGTAAGGCAGAACACCAACAGCTTTCATCAGGCAAAAATGTATAAAATACTCATTTTTATTGGCTAGACAATATTCTCAACCTTCCCAGTGGTTCAACAAACAGATAAATGAGTGCGACAACAAAAACTTAGGTGGACTACATAAAGATTTTTTCTAGTTTCCATGCATGTTTACTATTACAGTTCAATTTCAATTAGACAATCACTTTCGCTAATACTGAGTCGCCTAATTTATGTGCAGTGGTGAGATAAAATTCAAACTGCTCAAATTACTGCAATAGTTACCTTGATAAGGAATTCTTTGTGGACGAGGAAACAATTATGTCCCTTAAAATTGCGTATTCTTTAGAGAGACCACCTAACTTTGAGATTTCACATCCCACATTTTCTCCTTCATCGTCTTCATCATACCGCAGACCTTGCGCAGATCTTCTCTCTCGAATTTGAGATACTAAGTCCAATGTATGATGGAGGTAGATTTTAGTTTCCTGATTTATCATAAAAGCACGATTTCTACAGGATGTATCAGAAGGGATTTTATCAGCTCTTTTGACACAGAATATAAAGATTTCTGAGAGAATTGGCACAGCAACGAAATTCCCATATAGCAGGCTACAAGGGTAAAGCCACGAACTTGCACAAATCTGCAGAAGTTTTTTCGAACTTTCATTGCTCAACACCTCTCGTAGATCAAGTGAACTTTCAGATGGAAACTGCTGCTTGGTACTGAAAACAGAGTCATCTGTGATTGGTGAAGCTGGAGATTTGGGGCGAGGAGAGTTATACTTTAGCAAGTTTGATGGTGTCTTAGGAGTTGAATTCCCATTTCCGTTCTGCTCGTAAGAACTTTCAAGCTTCTCCTTAGAAAGTAAATCCCTTTTAGCTTGTAATACATTCCTGAAAGGAGTCAACTCCAAACACAACTCTTTGCAGGCAAGCAGTGAAAGCTGGTTGACATCTTTATCATGTGATCCAACATATCCGTTGAATTGATCACTTAAAGAAGGTCCGCTAATAGGATAAACAAAAACAGTCCTGCCTGAAACAGGACAACCAAGCCCATAGCAAAGATTCACTGAAATACGAACAGCATCCTTCAAAACCTGCAAGAATTTGAAAAAATACAAGAGAGTTAAAATCTTTCATCCAACCAAGAGAAAAACAAAATATCAGAACGCAAAGTTCGTTTCGAATCAGAATCATCAGGACCTTTGAAGAAGAGAAAACAGTGGCGAGCACAAAATAGTTCCCTGGTTCATCCGCAATGCTACAATCGTTGTCATCATCTCCATATTCAGCTTTTATCGAGCTGAGTGGGAAGTTGCTCGTGAATCTACTCTCCGGAGAAGCAAGTGATACCTATCATTAGCATTTCAAAGCTTTAGAAAGAATCAAAATTCTCATCCAACGAGTGTCAATCTAGTATGAACAGCTCAAAAAGCAGAAAAGCTTCAATTTTTACCGATACAGTGGAACCAGGGCTGAGAGAAGCAGCGACCATCGAACTTTCCGATAGCCAAATCTTAGAACCTCTGATAGACTCTGCTGCAACATCGGCTACTCTTCCAATAGTTGCAGATTTCCCGATAAGACTAGGAAACGCAGCTGACGCTTCTTTAATACTGCGCCTAAGTTCTTCTTCGTTGATGAAATCAGTATCTCGACTTGTGGTTGAAGACGCCGGAGTTTTGGGAGACGCAGGCGGTTCCGAATTGGATAGCCGTGATGGCGTCCTCGACTGCTTCTTCTTCGAAGGCATATATAGCTTTTGCTTTATCTACTACACTCCGGAGTAAAGAAAAGAGAAGAAAAACAAATCTTGTTCGTTCCCCCAGTGAGTGTATTACAGAACGCCGGCGACATTCGCCGGAGATAAAGAGAGCCTTTAATTTAGGGTTTAATTGGGTTGGTTTTAGAAATTAGTGAAACAGGCCCAATCTCTTTCTTTTGACTGTATAAGCCCAAAGCTCAAATGAATTGTCTTAATTGTTTGATGATTTGTCTGAACTTAAAAAAACTCAAACATCCTTCAAAAAGCATCCTTTAATTACGGTTAGGGATCAATTTTGTTGTTTATCCCTTACTACTTTGGATTTATTAATTGGACAAAATAAAAAATTATTCGCATAAAATATTCTCTACTAGTGTTAATTCTACACGAAAACTGGTGATATAATCATATAGAAGTATATATAACAAAAATCATTAAAATTAATTGGATTCGGAAAAGTTGTGCCAACTATGATTACAGTGGAAAGTGGAAACGTCGAAGGTTTTGTAAGAGTTATAATTACGTTGATGGTTTTTTATTATATGGTTGAAATGGATATAATAAAGTGATTCAAATCGTGATTGATACATGCACAACAAGGTGAGCACAACACAAGCACTTGGTACCAATAATAAAGGGAGTTTAATTTCACTTATGTTCGTTCATATCTTACAAATCATTCTCTTTAACTGGAACTTCCCTGAAAGAATTGCCTTTTGAGACCATGAAGATGAACGTCCATGGCTATTTCCTAATAAAAAAATGTTTTATGGCTATTTATTTAATTTTTGTCTAACATTTGGTTATTCTCTAATATTACCCTATTTATTATATATAATAAAATGTTGATAAACTAGAAAATTAATTAATAATAATAATTGCTAATAAACTGAGTGAACAAAAGCATTTGTACTAAATTTATTTGAAGTTGTTGTTAATCATTCTCATAGAGTAAAGATGATAATTTGAAAGAAGAACACTATAAACTTTATTAGATCAAACTAAGGAAATACAAGGTCTCCTCTCAAGAGCTTATTAAACTCTCGCTAAGTTCCATCCATATCTTAAATCAGTCTCTTCACTGAAAGAAGTTCCTTTTTGAGGCCAGGAAGATGAACGTTGACAACGTAATGCTCCCAGTCAATGCCTTTGATATCGAACCCAAACATCTTTCTCTCTTTCATTGACATCTCCTCTATCAGACTCGTTGTATTGGTGTCGTCAAGCCTGGTATATTTATTATGACTTATGGGTCAGTACTAAAATCTGATAGCTGGTATAATACAAGAAACTAATTCTCACAAAATAAAAACTCATACCAGTTGAAAAGTGGAGGAAAAGTGTCAGTTTCTTGCACTCCTTTCCGAGGCTCAAAAGTCTACCAGGTCCAAGAGCATTGACACTTAGTGCAGAGTCGTATCTGTTCATGTTTGTTTGGGTAGCTAAGTCAAATATTAATTACATTCATAGTTTGCAAAGCGATAAAAGAAAACAGAGCAAACACCTGTCGTCAAATGTTGTACGACCACCACAACTGATAATGACATCAATTTCCTCACTAATCTTGTCTCTTATTTCAGATTCCATCCCTAGATTGTCTTCTCCAATGTCTCCAATTACTGGAATCAACTTACTCTTCATGAAGGCTTCGTAAGAGCTCCCGTGCATTTGCTTCAGAAGCTTGAACAGATCCGAGCTTATAATCTGTGTGGAAGAAGAAAGGATACAAAATATGAAAAACTGGTAAAAACATAAGCTGAGAATGGAAATGTTTATTCAGAACCTCATCACAGAGTGTCTTTTCGGCTGATTCTTGATTTTTGGATCTCATCAGAAGGTATACCTTCCCAATCTCAGGACTTGCTCTCAACAATTTCTCAATCAACAACTGTAGCAAAGAACTTTATTTCCAACCCAGACGCAGGTTTACTTGTAGAAGAAGAAAACTCTAATTTAGGTTTTTCTTACCTTTGCCAAGAAACCCTGTTCCACTCGTAACGAGGTAACTTTTCCCTTTTAAAAAACGGACGATTCCAATTCCGTCAGTGTCACTACTTGTTTCTGCCTCAGGCCTCTCTAACGACGTCACAGCTTTCAGAGACGTCTCACGAGAACAACATAAAGTACGGACTCTACGAGTCGTCTGTGACAAACAACGAGCCAAGTAGTGAGCTAAGTGGTAGTTAGGTTTGTCTGAGAAAGAGGAGACGAAGTTGACACCATTCAATTTGATACCGTTGCTTGCAGTGAGGAGATTTGTAGTACCCATTCTTTAATTTAGTTACCAACAACAAGAGTAAACTGAAAGCTTTTCATTTGTTTTGTTCGGAGGGCATTTATATATATAGAGAAATTTACCTAGAAATAATAAGGGTAGGAGGACTAAGGTTGAGCCTTGTCCATTTACTTTTGTGTACCGGAGCTAGTACGAGACTGCCGACCAAAAATTGGAAAAAACATTAAACATGTGTAATAAACGGAAACATATTAGATTAGGGTGTGTAAATATGTTTAACTAATCAAAGATTAAAGGTGAACGAACCACTGGATTTGTCGGTTTGATAAGGCCTTGAGAGCATGACTTTGTGTACCGGAGCTATTTTAAAAGAGTACGAGACTGCCGACTAAAAAAAATGGAGAAAACATTAAACATGTGTAGTGAACGGAAACTTATTAGATTAGGTGATAAATACATTCAACTAATCAAAGCTGAAAGCTGAACGAACCACTGGGTTAATTTGTCGGGTTGATGAGGTTTTGAGAGCATTATATTTGATGTACAATTTAAACTATGATAGCGTATGATGTACTTTATAATAACACTGATGAACAGAATTTTGTCAAGTATATTTCTAAGAAGATGAAATAACAATACATATTGGTTAATAGTCAAAATACATAGCAATATGATAAATCTAATTAAGCCTTCCTATATTAGAAAACGAAACTATAATTGTTGTTGTTCTATTTATTACACCCAATCTTTTAAAGTGGTGTTTTAGTCTTAAAAAATTATTTCATTTTAAGTGATGTTTTCAAAAATATTTAATGTATTTAGTAATTTTTGACTAATCATATTATGCATTATATTTTCTTATTGGTTGAATTTATTGTATTTAATGATTTTTTTTTGTGAAAAAAAGAAAATTATATGTTCTTTTTTAATTTGTGTGTAACAACTTTAACCTTAAACGTCACTTAAAAAGAAACGGAGAGAGTAACATTTTATTATACGCTAAAAATATTATACTCAATGATCCTCGAAACCCAAATAAATATTCATTTTGGTAGCTTTAGAATTCCTAAATATCGAAGATTCTCTACACCAAAAAGAATCCCTCAAATGTCTCGAGAAAAAAAAAAAGTTGTAGAGATTATAAACAACAAGGATGGGTTAAGAGAGTCGTCTTCTTCTAAATATCAATGGTAAAATGATTTGTTGGATCGTAGTCACAGTGCCACTCAACTGGTACCTATCAACACAAGTCACTGAAGTGTCAACAAGCCCAATAGTTCTATTATGAGACAAAGAAGCCCATGTAATTAGGGTTCTCTATCAATTACTATATTAAGTTTTTTTTTTTTTTTGGTAAAACTTACTATATAAAGTTGTAACATTATTGTCTAGAATTCTTAAGCTCGTTCTACTATTGTTTGCTCTTGGTGACAACCTTAAGTTCTTTACTTATATCTTTTAGTTTGCATTTTAAGAAATCTCTTCATAGACTATCTAATCTCTTAGTTTAATTGATCTCGATCGTTTGAGCCTAAATCATCTTGCTTTGGAATTGCTCACAGTACCAAAATTGTCAGTTTGTGTTGAAGCACGGGATGTCTAATTTAGAAGAGATGAATGCTCTTGTGGTGGTTGGGAGTTTATGGAAACGAACTTTTTGTGGTCATAAATGTTATTTGTGCTGACTTTGCCCTCAACGATTTTTCAATCAACAGTGCAACAAACAATATTTCAATCGGATAAATCAGTTTACGTTGATATGATTAAGAAAGAAACTCTGTTTTAGATTTTTCTTTCTTTTAACCTCTAACAAGAAAACCATATTTATTTTTTAATCATTGGTTTCTAAACACGTCTAAAATGTAATGCTTGCAAGTGATTACGGCTAAACATATTAATCCCTTAGTGTGCATGTATATAAGCTTTTAAGAGAAAGAAAGTATGGAAACAGGGACTGGTGAATGTGTTGTGTATTGACAACGAATGTGAGTGTAAGAATTGTACTCAGCTATTAGCTAACTATAGATTAGTACATGTTTAATTCTTGGTTACATAAGAAGTACATATTCAATTATTCATACATGTCGATCGAGGTTTTGATGTAGAGAGACAATAAACAAAAGAAATCAAGAAAATACATAAATAAACAAGAAAGAACCATTCTTTGTACAATATAACTTACTCATATGACTCGCATCACAAACCCTAATAAATCCATGTATAGTTTTTTCTTTCTATTTCTTTGGTGGTTAAATTTATGTATGGAGATCATAATGATAATTTGATGAAACTGAAACCCCTAATAAAAGAAAAAAAATCGGTAAGATTTCATCAAATAGAATCGATGCTTCCAAAGTCATTGACATTGTAAAAAGCATTCGAGAAAAACCCTGAAAAACCTGCCGACATCTGAGGCAAGAACATCTCTTCCCCAACCAAGGGCTCGTAACAATCACCGACTCCACTACCATCGAACGGCTCCTGAAGACGTGGCGCAACATCCTCCGGGGTAGAGACAGCGCACGGTGGGGGAGAAGGGTTCTGGTCAGCGGAGGAGGTTGGGGAGTAGTAGATGGAATCCGGTTGATCAAGATCGACGGCGTCTTGTCCGGTGAGTTCTTGAACGAGCTCTCTGAACTTGGAAGCACAAGTTTCGACTCTCATGGGGTTCGAGATGTAACGGACTTTGATGGGTTTGTTGTTGTTCGTCTTCTTCTTATGCTTTGGTGATGATTTTCTTGAGAGAGGAGATGGTTTTCTCAGGTCTAAGCTTGAGGTGGTGAGAAACGTCGCTGATGATGATGAATCCATGCTCAGGTTTCGGGAGAGAGAGAGAGAGAGAGGATTCAGATGTTTATGTGTGTTTTGATTTGTATTTTCAGTTAATAATTAAGCTTTGGAGGATGATATATATTTATATAACGTTTTTGTTTTTGTTTTTGCTTTTTCATTTGGTTATGGAAGGTGGGAGGAAATTAATAGGAAGGAGACTATTATATAGCTCTAGGGAAAGGAAACAAACGTAAAGAATGACGGCGCGTGTAACGCACCTGTTTTCTGATAGGTTGGATGACTCGAAATATCAAAGCTTATGGGAGAGTTGTAGCGTGTGTATCTCAATCGTTGGGAAAAAGTCGCGTGGTGATATAAGAAAAAAAACAAAACAAAACAAAAGAGATAAGAAAAAAGAGACATAAACTTTTATAAGTGGTGAGCAAGGCGAGGCGGCGGCTGCGGTCTCATGGGGGGGTGGAGCTATCGTTAAAGCTCGTCCACGTGAAAACCACCACCACTCTCTCAAATTAATGACGTCTTTTATGACATTATCATTACTCTTCCGAGGTTACGTCACTAAACCGGTCATGCTACTTGTGAAAAGTCGCGCGCATAAGTTTTTTCTTTTTTTTTTGGGTTTCGTTTAAATACGAAAAAGGTTGGAACAAATATAAAATTCCGTAGTACGATATTTCTTTCTTGTTGTTGTGTATAATCTATATAATGTATAGGTGGTTGTTTGAGAACTGATTACTTTTCAGTGTTAACGCGACCATAATCAAAACTACTATATAACATACGTTGAGTATAATTAAGAAGAAACCATTATTGTTTCAACGTTTTCATATCTATATGTCATTTTACAGTACTCTTTTTGTTGTTCATACTAATGTATATAGATGAAAACTGTAATATATATTATTGAGCCAAAGTACAAAAAGAAAACCATTACGATAATTTAAAGAGAAAATAAAGAGATAGAAACGAAGGGGGTCCAGGGTGGGCAAGTGGGAAGAAAGCAAGTAGCATCAGTGTGGTCTCCCTATCACTCTGTTTAATCTCTTCTTTAATTTGTCCTATGTAACTATAGAAAGATGAGTGATTAATATAATGCTTAATTAACGTGTGGTTTACGGCGGGATTAAAAAAGCCAATATATATACATACACCTATGTTCGTTTTATTATACGGTTTATTGCGATAAGAAAAAACGTAAAAAGAAAATCTTGATTTATTACTTTACTGTAGTTGGCTGATTAGAACAAGAGGATATATGATAACATAAAATAAAAAAGCATATTTTAAAAAGAGAGGGATCTTCTTCTTCATCCCTAAATATATTTCAAAGAAAGTCAAGTCACGTGTATACGTCGTAGTCGTAGACCAAGACCCCTCCCTCTCTTTCAAGTTCTCCTGACAAATCCATTTAATTTCCCCCACTTTATCTCATTGTCGACTTTTATTTATTATTAGAGAGTATCACCAAAATAATACGATTACTTTCTATTGCATAATCTTACCTTTATTATATTCATGAAACTCCTATATATATATGTATATATGTATGACTTCTTATTTAATCATCTCTCTCAAGCATGAAATGCATGATGTACCATTTCAATTGCAGGAGACTCAAACTCGAATCTACGTTAACTAATCATCTTCATTAAATGGTTGAATTTATCCCCTACTTACTTGTAAGAGCATCATTATGGGCATAACCCCAAAGATGGTTCTTAGTGAATATTTAATATATTTATAATGTAATAGTTAATTTTAAGAACCAAAGAAAATGTGATAGTTATTGGTTGAATCTGTAACTTCCTTAAAAACATATTAATAATTTTTAAAATTAATTCAATAAATAATAATTTGAAAATTATATATAACAAACTCAAGAGTTTATCTCTGCCTAATCTTTCTCACGTTTGTTACTACTTCACGTTTGTTACTACTTCACGGTTTTTCTGGATCCCCCAAGGTTGATTCATCTTCCTCTATGACCAATATTGATGAGCCTGCAACAAACTCTGCAATATCTGTTTTTTTTCAGGAATAGATTCCCATTCCAAGACTGGCCTTTCCACAAGTATGCTCCTTTCGCAATGGTTAAGCCTACAAATCCTTCTGTTCCTACAACACCCTTTTCTTCTGGAGCTGCTGCTGAGGAAGAGGAATCTGAGAAGGTGCCTTCTTCTCTCAAGTTTAAAACCAAATAAGAGAAACCTAAGGAACTTTTCTATAAAGAAGAAACAATCATAGTATGAGCTAATAAAGACATGGTATGATCAAGATTACCTGTTGTGAGCTTACAAACACAGCAAACCCATTGATGAGATAATGGAAGCTATAAAGCTTTATATACTTCTCTCCCTTCAATGCATTTCTGAGCAAAGAGTCATGAGCCTGAGCAATTGCTGATCTCCTTGATCTCCAATAACGTGATTTTGAGATGTTCCTATATTTTAACAAGAAAAGGTAAATTAACACCAGAGAAGGGATCAACACAACAAAAGAGTGAACCTTTAGACACAAAGTCCAATTTCTAGTGCTGTTCAAAATAAACTTCCAGTTAAGTGAATCATACAATGCATGTACCTAAAAGTGAACACATTCTAATCCAGTGACTGAGTCCACTAATCAAAAACCTTAAAATTCAAGATTGTAAAGCAAAATGAGACTACATTTTGCCAAAAGCTTCTTAACAACATCACTAGCAATAGGTTCCTGTGGAAATCCATACAAAAGAAAAACACGTTTTACCAAATTGTACAAGTTAAAACCAGGTGATGGAGGAGAAATTAAGAAACTGAGAATCTGTCTATGTTACTACAATATGACTATCTTTGTATAGGTGAGTGTGAGACAAAGATAACATATGAATCATGCTTTTGATTCTCATTCTGGTGCCAAGAACACTTGTCTCCTTACTGATTACGTTTCCGTATCTTACTTATATTCCATAAAAGAATGGATAAGGATACATTAGAGACCACATACATGTGAACCCTTTATTGATAGGGTTATTAACCCAAGAAGTTTTCTCCTCCGCGTTCATCTTCTCCTCGATATACCTCTGTAAATCAGAAGAAAAGAGTAACTAAATTTACTCTATCTCAAATTTCCGACAGTATATATAATCTAAGAAATTGATATCATTCTCATTTCCTTACAGTAACAGCCATATTTTGATGAGGCTGTATGCCAGATAAGACAATACTCATTGCCTGAAATATACAAAGTGAAAATGCATCAATTAGTGTGTGAAGCAGGAAAAAGAGGGTCACGAGAAATCTACGAACGAACTACCCAATTCATCAATTGAAAGAAGACTTAGCCGCAAATAACCCAAAGAAGCTCGGTGCGGAGATTGAAAACAATCTCAAACACGACGGGGACAAGCCAAAGCAGCAGCGTCGCTAGAAAGAACTGCCCACCCCCATTCTTCTTCCATCCTGTGCTCCCAATCCCGGTCTTCCCCATAGAAACCCCTATCTCGTGATAAATCCGGTAAAGTTGAACCCTAAATTGGATTGGATTGGCTTTTCTTTGTTAGCAGCAAGCTCCGATGATATCTATTCCAATTTTGGCGGAAGATACTTACGATTTCGACGGTGTGAGAGAGGAAGAGAAGTCGAATCGATCTGGGAGAGAAGAATGAAAAATGAAAAAGGAAAAATGTTTTTATTTTTACAATTTCCTAACCACTCACAACGAAACATGTGGCATAAGCAACCCTCTCAAAAACATCTTAACATAAACCCGGATGCTTCTTCTAAATCTACTGTTTTATTATTTTTGGTTTTGTTTAATCATATAAGGGCCGACGGGTTAGCCCGATAATGATGCCCTAAGGGGTACTCTCAGAAATATATGTCATTTTAATAGTGCAATATAATTTTTGGCAATTTGTTTCAAGAGAATATATCTAAAGGGGTAAAGATAGTTGTAAAGATTACAAACACGTGTCGGGATATGGGTGATGAGCGAGCACATGGGTTGACTTCTAAGTAAACGGATTCAAACGACTTTTGCTTCGTTGTGGAAAAATAAATGTATTTAACTTGTTTTTTCTGTTTAAAGTAATTCGATAAACCCATAATAATATATCATGAAATCAATAAGGTTAAAAAGCGAGAGAATCAAGTCCACATTCAACGGAGACAAATAATTAGAAAGTAGCAGAAACTAGTAGAACAAAGTTGAATTTATTTTTATTAGAAATTGCAAACGTCGTACGTACTAAAGTATACACTATCGAAAAATCATGTATACGCAATAATTATGACGAATGCAAAAAAAAAAAAAAGTATACATGAGCTCCGATTTTAGTCTTTCTTTCACATATCTTTATCAGAGGAACATGCATGGCCAACACAATTAACACGTCCTTCTTCTTCTTTTTGTTTGTACGTATGGAAGCATCATATTTCTTAATCTTTTTTTGTAAAAGTAAGCATAATATTTTTTCAAAAAATCAAATATACACAACTCCTTAAAGTTATAGGTCTTGCGAGTCTTTTATCATATAAGACGTTCGCTTTCCTTTATGGAAGAAAAATATCTTATATTGTAAGTTACAATTTGTAACTCCTTAAATTTTAAAATTTTATCATAAAAGAAGAATATATGGTCCAGCAAAAAAACCAAAGTCCATAATTTAAAAAATACTTGTTCGCTGATATTTATTTGGCAAAGACATTGGGCACAAGCACGCCAATGATAGATGGACAAATGGTTAATCATGAAGACATGACAATTTATTGCTGAAAACGTTATCATGTTTTGACAAAAATAGGATTTGATCATGTTGGGCCAATGCCAACCATGTCGAGTGTATGTATGTAAAAAGCCTTTTATGAAGTCAGTCAAAAAACTCCATGGTCCACAATATTAACGATGCTTGTTATGTTTTCATAATATGTATCAACTATCATCAACTCATGTCGAAGACAAAGAAAAAACACCTAACTCATTTTAGTACATATGAATTCTCAACCAGCCCATGCAATGCTACTAAATGGGCTTTCTGAGTCTCATTTTGTTAGCCCATTGAGTCTCAGCGTCTCAATCTGATTGAAGGAATCGCACCGAGAAAAATATCTTCGTCGAACCCTAAACTTTTTTTTCTCCCCCCCCCCCCCCAGGAAAAATGGAGTGATCTTTCTGTAGAGAGATACGAGATACCGATAATTTCACTGTTAAATTGGAGAGTGTTGAATTATTCGGAACCAATCTTCTCGTTTTGTTCGATTCGATCTCTCAATCTTGTAAATTCTGCTGCAAAGTTTCTTCGGTGAGCAAAAAAAAACATCCTTTCAAATTTCGATTCTAGTCTCAGCCTTTTGTTATTTTTTCTCCCATTGGAATCCATTACTAATCGTCTCTAAGTTGTGTAGGTGTCAAGCTCAATGGATACAGAACTGAATTCACCTCCTCATGGTGATGGCGATACCACGGCTGCTTTCCGAAAGCCCTCTAATGATGGGGCTAGCAGAAAATATCGCCACCGAGCTTTAGCTGACGATGGCTCATCTTCATCTGATGGTTAGTTCGTATCTCAAAAATTCTCAATTGTTTACTGTAACATTAGCGTATTTGATTTTGGTTACAGCAATTTAGGTGTTCTTGTTTTTGATTGCATCATGTAATTGTGCATCTTAGTGGCCTTTTTTTCCGTTGTGTTTACTTTTTCAGCTCTAGCTTAGAATTGTTGGTTCTTCTTTTGTAGAAAGTCCTGAACGTAATCAGAGTCATCATTCTAGGAGAGATATTAGGAAAGACTCTGAACCTCTTCAGCCGAGGAAAGAGGATAAGCGGGAATATGAACGCAGTCGATACGGTAGAGCTGATTCACACAGACACGATAGGTACTCTAGAGATAGTAAATATGGATCCAAACGTGATGAGTACACCAGACATGAGCGTGATGCACCTCGCTCTAGCTGTGATTCATGGGGTCTCCGTAAATCTGACCGTAGAAGAGCAGAGACTGAACGTAGTAGTAGGTCCAGAAATGATCCAGACAGACGTGCCCGTGATAAGTATAGCAACTCTGGACATAGTGTCAATAGTGATGATAAAGGTGAAGATTTTTCATTTGGTACGAGATACGCAGACTCAAAAATGGAGGATAAAGGGAAGGATTATGTGCCAGGGAGAGATTTTCAAGGCGAGAAAAGAGACTCCCGCTGGAATTTTGGTGACCGCCATTCCCGCAATGAAAGAAAGGAACATGATGACCCTGAGATTAGCAAGGAGAAAGATGTTCATGTCAAATCTCCAAGAGATCGCCCTGATGGGAAATGTTTGGCAACTGAGAATCGAGATACACATTCTAAGAAACTGAAGGGCTTCATTTCAGAGAAGTTCACTCATGGCAGTAGTAATGGTAAGACTCTTGATATCAAATATTTCTTTGTGTGTTCATTGTTCAATACGTCCTTGCTTTAAGTTTTAGTGCTACCGCAGAAGAGAAGCAGACATCAATCTTAAAGCCTTCACCTGGTGATGTTGATGCTGCCAAAGTTGCAGCTATGCAGGCTGCTGAGTTAGGTAATAATACTTTATGATGCTATGGATTTTTCTCTTCATTTAATTGACCTCCTTTTGGATTTGAATTGTCCTTGTTTTTACATAGTTATTATGATCTTGCAATCTGATACTAGTTAAGTTGAAAGTTATGTGTCATGCCTTATCTAGTTAACATTGTTTTTCAATTGAAAATGCTAAATCCTACTCATGTCTGCTTTTCCCTAGTTCCTACCTAACTGTATTCCTCAATGTTACCAGTGAACAAAAACCTTGTTGGAACGGGTTACCTGACAACAGATCAGAAGAAGAAATTATTGTGGGGAAAGAAGAAAAGCACAGCAACGGAAGAGGTATTAAAATGAATAATGATGACCCTTTGGATATGTTAATACAAATGTAGTGATATAAACTGTAAACTCAAAATTTTCTCGTGTTCCTACTTTTGCTTATCTCCTATTTAACCAGGTTGCTCATCGTTGGGATAGTGCCAGTGCGCTAATTGGTGACCCTGAACGACAAGAAAAGTTCAACAAACTTATGGTAAATCTCATCCTTCTTCCCCTAGTTAAATGTTTTGCATCTTTTGATTGTCTTCCTTCCTCAGTGATGATCATGAGTCCCGAATTATGCAAAGTTTTATATTATAAAAGAATTGCGTAGAAGATTGGACTGTGTATAAAGTAATACTAACACATTTTCAGAGTCTGAGGTTGCGTTGGTGCATCATTGTAGGGTGTGAAAGCGAGTACAGTAAACCAAGAGCAGAACCTGAGCGAAGTCGAGTTGGAGAAGCAGAAAGAGTTGCAGATAGATTTAGAGAAGCAGTACACAGCGGGATTAAGGAGGAGAGATGGACGAACCGTAGGGTTAGGTCTTTGATCCTCGTTGGTAAATTGCCATCGTACTCCTGTCTCCTTGGAAGGAATCTTTTGGCATCTCCTTTTTGTTGTACTCTACTACTCTTGTTGAAGCCCGTAATCATGATTATCTCCATGTGTGTAAGAATTAAGTTCAGTAACCAGGTTTTGAGTTTAAATCTTTTTCACCAACAAATAATTCTCTTATTATGTTGCTGTGTCGTTATCGTTGAAGTTTTTTTATTTACCCAAAATGATATTAAGTAAAGTTATCGTTGTTAATTTAATAAACGATGCAGTTAAGAAATTCAGATTCAAGTTAAGCTTTGAAAGTATCTTAACCTGAATCTTCTTAGAAGATAACGTGGAGATTGATTAGGTGAAAATCTCTCAAGTTAACTTCATCGCAAGATGAAGCAACAAATTCAAAATATCCACAAAATTCAGTTTAAACTCTCACAAGCAAATTTAAAAACACTTCAAATGTAACATCGATCAAGTTGGATATCCATTTGCAATTTTCTTTTTATATTCTAAAAGTCAAAACATGAAATGGAAACTTTTGTCGTTAACTATTTTCGCATCAAAAAGTTTGTGTCGCCAAACCTGTAAGAAATCTTCTGGATTATTCTCTTGCTATAAGAAATTTTATTGGTACAAATTTGAGTTGTGTGTTAAATTTGCCAACTAAAAAGTGGAAACTGAAATAATGTATTTAATTAAATTAATGTTTATAATTTGGATTCTGAAGTAAATGAATTGCTGGAAACATCCTTACTCCGAAAGAAAGAAAGAAAGAAGATCAAAAGGTTGTTCATTGTTGTAGCATCGATCTCTAAATCCCAGATTGATTAATTCGTCAACGATCTTTCTCACGCCGATTAGTTCTTCGTCGCCGCCCAACTATTCACACGGCGAAGATGAACGGCGGTCCTTCCGGTTTCCGTAAGTATCGTCCTCCATCGCTTGATCAGTTTCTTCTCTGGGATTCCCACTCGTTGTCGATTGCTGAGTGTTGAATCTTGTCGATTTTGCAGATAATGCTCCGGTGACGAAAGCCTTCGTCATCACGAGCGCTCTTTTCACTGTCGTCTTCGGGATCCAAGGTCGTTCTTCTAAGCTTGGTTTGTCTTACCAGGTATCCGCATTTGGTGTCTTGTATTGTGATTTCGTTACTCGTTTTTAGATTTTTCTTAAGGATTTACTTCAGGATTTGCTGGGTGGACTAGGTGGTATCCCCTTTTGTTCGATTTTGATATTCTTGAACATTTTGCTCTTCGGTACTTAATGTGGTAGTTCGCTAACTTGCGTCTGATCATCTGTTTGCCAGTAACCTGACAGCTGAAAGATAATTGATTCTATCTTCCCAGTTTAGAATTCGAAGTTGTTTTTGAGAAGTGGCTATGTAAATCTGATATCTCAAAATACAATGTGTGATTATAACCTTCTTCCAAACTCGTTGCAGGATATTTTTGAGAAGTTCCGGATATGGAAGTTAATCATGTCAACTTTTTCCTTCTCCTCCACACCGGAATTGATGTTTGGATTGTATTTGCTATACTACTTCCGAGTTTTTGAGAGACAGATTGGCTCAAATAAGTACTCGGTAAGTGATGCTTGTAGCTCAACTCTCTTTGCTTGGTAGATAAATTCTCATGTGTTTCTGTTTGTTGCTATGCTTGGCAAACTGGTTACTAGAAAGGTTTACTTGTGATAATTTCTTTTCAAGTTCTTAAAAAAATTCCACTATTTTCGTATCCATCCTGCTTACTAAAGGTTAATAAGATAGTGTTCGTGCTGCAGGTTTTTATCTTCTTCTCAGGGAGTGTATCGCTACTACTAGAGGTCTTTTTGTTATCACTGCTTAAAGGTACCCATCATTCTATTTCAGGACAGCCTCTTCAAAGTCTTATGTCTTTGGCTTATTAGTTAGGATTTGCAATAATACTGGCACCAATACAGGTTACAGTAAAGAATTTGGTTGTTGGTTTGTAAATTAGCTTTGTTACCATCCTACAAAAATTATGCAGGGATAAATACCCGAGGCAGGATTGAGGTGTTCTGAATTATAATGTATCCATTTAAGAGCTTATGAATAATTCTCACATTACTGTGACGATCTTTATTAGTTTCCGTATCCATCCTGATATTTTCTTCCCTCTAATTTGCATGAAGATAGTTTACTGGATTTTCACCTGGTCCATGATTTAGACTATGTGTTTCAGTTCATGTGTTTTAATTTTTGGCGCGTCATTATACATTTGTAAAACCTAACGTTACTAAAGAATATGTTTACATTGTATCTATTCATTAAGATAACTATCTGTTGTTTCCTTTTCCAGATACCACCACAAACTTACTGACGTCTGGACCATACGGCTTGATATTTGCTTCGTTTATACCCTTCTACTTGGACATTCCTGTTTCAACAAGATTTCGAGTATTTGGTGTCAACTTCTCTGATAAGTCATTCATATATCTTGCAGGAGTTCAGGTAAACAATACCATAGGTTAAATTGTATGTTCCTTACTGTTAATGTAGTCTTCTTACTTCTTAGTCAGTCTGATAATCTACTTGGATTTTATTTTTGCAGCTTTTACTATCTTCTTGGAAAAGATCCATTTTTCCTGGAGTTTGTGGCATAATTGCAGGTTCCTTGTATCGTTTGAACATCCTTGGCATCCGCAAGGCAAAGGTTATATACCTTTCTAACCTTTTCTGTAGGAATTAATACATTGTTATTTATCTCTCTGTCAGATTGTTGATTTCTTAGCTTTATCTCTAGAGTAACCTTAAATTTATGTCTCAACACATCACAGTTCCCAGAGTTTGTGGCTTCGTTCTTTTCCCGGCTTTCTTTTCCCTCCTTTAGTAACTCTCCTCCTCCAGCACCAGGCAGGAACATTGTTGGAACTATATCACCTAACACAGGGCGCCGAGCAGAGGCGAGTCTCTATCTTAAATTTGCTCAGTAAAAGTTGTTGTGCCTTCTAGTCAAACTCTTAGTATCAGCTAAAAAGCTTCTTTGTTTACAGAGATCTCAGCCAGCTCCAATGGCATCAAGTGTGGAGCCATCTGAGGAAGCCATAGCTACATTGGTATCAATGGGCTTTGACAGAAACGCAGCAAGACAGGCGCTTGTGCATGCAAGAAATGATGTCAATGCCGCCACAAACATCCTTCTCGAAGCTCAATCCCACTAATACAAAAAGAGTTTTACTCTGATTGGGAAGAACCAGAAACATTGTTGAATCCAGTTTCAGAAACACAACAGTTGATGAATTCTTCGGCTGTCATTGGACCAACATGTTTCAGCACATAATCCGGCCAAAGATCTGACCAACCTTCTCGTTTTGTGTTTTTTAGTGTAGGAAATTGCATAGGTTATGTAGAACAAATTTGCGAGTTAAGATAAATACTGAGAAGCTCATCTATCTGTAACTTCAAGACTTCAAAAAACACAGATCTTAATGCATTTACACAATCCTGCCTTGAAGCACGAAAACACCTCAACTACTCTCCTCTTGTTTTCACGTACAATGATTTAACTTTACTACAAGAATGTGGAAAGTGATAAGACTAACGTTTGGATCCAGTTTGAGTAGATTTCGCAATGCAGCCTCTAAGGCACAAACTTTAGCTCGCTTCTTCTTTTCTTTTATCCATTGTGTACACTGGTATTTCCCAGTTCTTGTTCTTTTTTGGATCATCCGTCAAGGTGAGATCCGTTTCGTACTCTCTAAAAGTTTTGAAGTATGTTTTGGCTCCCATCATTACCAGTCTCTCCAACATGAATAACTGGTAATTATTCTTGATTATAGGATCCAAAATCTCGCTAAAATTCGATGAATAAGCCAGTTTGTACCTGCAGTATAAGCAAATACGACGACATTTCACAAATGAGTCTGGGTATATGTATAAGCTTGCACACCTTAACTTAACCAAAACATCTAAAAACAGAAGGCTCTGCAAGTATCAGATAAAGTGTAATGTACCTGATGGCCAGAGGAGAAAAAAATCCAGGCGTCCTCTCATTAGAACCAATAAAAAGAATCCTCCCTCGTGGGATCTGCTTCTCTATCCTGCGAAGGATAAACTCCGGGCGAGTATCTCTGTCTAGATGAGGAAACTGAATCCTTTCAACTCCGAATCTGTCTTTTCTGGTTTTCAGTTTGTCCCCTCGACGAACGTGGATGGCATCATAATCACCAAGTTGTGCTTTTATCTGTAACAACACCAAGAACTTGTTCAAGCTTAAAGGCTTCATCAAGATGCAGAGTAAACAACAATTGGTTACTAATCTTAGTTTGCAAGAGATCTGTCAGAAAATAGCGTAAATATTGTTCAAGATATGTATATTGGTTAAAGGAAGCATTCTTCCATATACCTTCTCTGCGGCGTTTCTCAAATTTGAAGCTGCCATATTAGGAAGAAAAGAATAAGGAAGCATGACAGCACTACGATTGCTTCTATCTTTGCACTCGACGAACCTACACCAAAATGATCAACAATCTCAAAGGAGTTCAAGGGGGGGGATATAAAAAACTTAGACGAGAATAAGAAAATTGATGATTAATGAACTGACTTCCCAAATGAAGCTAAACACAATTTCATCAGCTTGATCATAATCCTGGTCTCAAAGATTCAATTCCCATAAAATCACCCAAACGAAAAGAATAAAGGAAGTGATTACCATGCAAGAGGACTTGCAGTACGGTTAATGATCAAGAGATTTGAGTAGTGACTCTCTTTTAGTCTCTGTCGACTGACTCCGCGAACATGCGCAATCCCTCTTTCTTCCAACTTCATACTTGTGGATAGAACTATATGCCATGTTTTGGAGTTGTCCAATATAACCGGTATCTTCTCAGATATGAGGTCAATATCATACAAGGAGTCCATTGCACAAGAGCTCCCTACCCAACTAAGAAATAAAAAAGCAGCCCTTGTGTTGAGAAACAGACACTAAACACATTCCCCAAGGTTGAAATAGACAATGCATATCTCTAGAAGACAAACAAGTCAAGCTGGTAACAGAACTCACCCTTCCTCAGTACTTTTGTTTTCCGATCGATTGAGTATGCCTTTCTTATTATGTATTGGATTGATGCACATCCCAGAAGGCATTACAAATGTCCTGCAACAAGAGCATAGTTATTGAATTGATCATGTCCTCCTCCTACACTAATCTCATCCCCATAAAGCTTCAGCATTTTTCCTAGAAAGCCTAAAGACTCAACTTTTATCACACTGAATCCAGAATTTGACAATTTCACAGCTAAATTTGAGTTACCTGTTAAGAAACATGGCTTCTTCAAGTGCACACCTGAGACTAGATTCCTGGTGACCCAAGCCAGCACAGGTCTCGCAGTTTTTGCCAGGACAGTCGATTCTGTTTCCCCAATACAAGTACTTCTCAGACAACGTATGCTGTCTCTTACCACGAGGTGACCACACGAAATAATCTATTAGGGTTTGTTGAGATGGCAATCCCAATTTGCCGGTGGAGATCACCGAAGAGAGCAGGAGGAGGAATGCGAACACAACTATACATAAAAGAACAAGACGTTGAGATCCACGAGTGGGTTTCGTTCTTTGAGCTTTGCTTATTGTCGCCATTAAAGTGTTCAAGACTGAACAATGCGAACGAAGAAGAAGAACAAAAGTCCTTGTCGACTGTTAAACACAGAAGATCCGATCTGAAGAACAGTCACGGTGAGAGTCTCCGGTAGCATAGAGAAGTGGCGTGGCGTATCCCCAACGCTCGTTTGAGCTGATCCAGAGATGGCTCAGATAATGCTTCTCGCTTCTCGGCTTTGGCTGCCATCAAAAGACTGTCTCGAGCTCGACACGTAAAGTTTGCCGCACAACGCCTGAGCAAACCGGTTTAATCAATACCGACCGAATTGAAATGGCAACAATTTTGTTTGCAGCAATAGATTCGGTTAATCTGGTAGACCAATCTCTTTAGTTCAATAATATAAAAATATTCCAAATTAATGATAACAAGTAAATATTAATCACTTTGTTAAGGTAAAGAACTGAGAGGTGTGTTTTTATTGAAAAGGAACAATGAAATAGAAAAGAGAACACTTTAGAGGAGTTATGGATATGTTTTTTCTTCTGTACAATCCTCTTAATCTCAATCAACACCATTCTTATCGCTTAAAGACTCAAATCTTAACCGAAACAAAGAAGAAAAAATAGGACTACCAAGAATAAGAGGATGCAACTTCATCTGACAAATGTGGTAGCTTTGCAACAGTCGGTTTGATCACTGAATTTTGCTCGGGTTACCGTAAGGTCATAATCATTTTTGAACTTGGTGTAAGGTTACTGTCCTAAAGGCAGGTCCTTTTAAATCCAATGAGGACTAAATGTATAGGTGAAGGAAAGAGGCTTCTCTACGCTTTCTGCAATGTCCGAGATGATACGCCATGTAAGAGTCTGACAAAACCCAAGAAACTTAGCTTCCCATCAGAATGCCTTATCCAATCCTGAAGAACAACCTGAACAGGGACTGAGGGACCTAGACCGAGTTCCTGACAACAAAACACATTTGCAAAAACCGGTATTAAACACCAACCGAAGACACCTCTGTAATTTCACATCTCGAAGTGGATAATGAAAGAGGAGGTTTATATACCGACGCAAGTTCTTCGATCATGATGACTCTGTTCCCATCCTTCTCAAACAATTCATATGCACGGCGTGCATGTTGCTCCCAAGTTTCCATTGCTTCTAGTTGATAAACACTTAAAGCTGAAGCGCAAAACTCTTCAAAGTCTAGTTTCTTGTACTGGAGACAACTAATCTGCCATCCAAAATATAATTTTATTACCATCTTAACCCACCAAACATAGTGAATATAACTTAGTCCTTGTTGCCTTACCATGTGTGCAAAATCCAAGACTCGTGAATCCTTTGTAGCCTCTGTCGAGCTCTTCAGGATTGCCTGCAATTTTAATCACATAGTAAGCAAACATGAAGATTCTAAAATGAATAAGAGACGTACGGAAATAGAAGCTCACTGTTTTGTAATTCTGCATTGAGATATATCCATTTTTGCTCGGTCCCAACAAATTAAACTGCTCTTGCAAATAAGTCAGCTGGGGTACAGTTAATGTTTTGGCAAGAGCCTGTAACCATGAATATAACCATTAGCAACTTGTCATCTATACGACCTGAGGATCAATGGTAACTGCTGAATAATCCAACTCACCGCTAAAGCCGATTTTCTCAAAGAAGACGACATTATGTATACTTTTATGAGCTTGTAAATGATCATATCAGATGGTACCTTCAATTCATGTGAGCCAACCAGCCACGGATGACCTGAGATAGAAGAAAAATGGTTCACATATATGTTTGAAAGCAGAACAGTTATGATTAATATAACCGAAATAGAAGCATCATGTTGGTTATAAAGACTTACACAAAGCCTGTGCAGCAGTTAGTCTTTTGCGGTAATCTTTGTTTAACAAACGTTTCACAAAATCTACAGCGTCAGGTGAAAGAGATGGCCAAGGAGCTTCTTCAAAATTGGGTTCTGCTTTAAGAACAGCTCGGAAGATTCCAGATTCAGAACGGGCCCAAAAGGGACGGCTACCACAGAGAAGTATATAAGCAATCACTCCAATACTCCACATATCTGCCTCAGTTCCATATGTACGGTGTAAAACTTCAGGGGCCACGTAATATGCACTTCCCACAATGTCATTCAACCTCTCATCTGCAGAAAGGGTAAAACAATCAATTTTTCCATCTATCATCTCAATAGGCTTCAAAAAAGGAGGTTCCTTCAAAATCTCCTACCTGGCCTAACATAGTCGGAGAGACCAAAATCAATGGCTTTAAGAGGAGAAGACTCATCCTTTGTAGCAAAGAGAAAATTCTGTAAATGAAAAAAAAACCAACAAAGAGTAAGATTTGTTAAGGATGAGAGAACAATCTGAAAACCAAAACAGAACGGTTAAGGATCTATTAACCTCGGGTTTGAGGTCACGGTGAACCACGCCTTGAAGATGACAGTACGCTACTACACTAAGAATTTGAACCATTACTTTTTTAGCATCTTCTTCTGAGTATTTGCCTCCCCTGATGAGTCCAAACGAAGAAAACTTAACCAGTGAAAACACGATACAATAGAGACAAGATAGAATCATGATGATGTAGCAGTGTTACCTTTGAAGTATTTTGTCCAAGAGTTCACCGCCTTGGCATAACCTAACCACAGGAGGGAAAGAAAACAGATTAAACTACTTTCATCTCAATCATTCAATATGAAAATGATTCTGCAAAAGCGCAGAAACTAAGAAATCTATGAAGCAACTTTACTTACTCCATAACAATGTAAACATTTTCATCATCTTCAAAGGCATCATAAAACTGGATTAGGTTTTTGTGACCAGTCAAAGCCCGCAATATCTTCACTTCTCTTCTAACATCCTCAATTGCAATTGCCGTAGTCATCTACAGAAAATAGC